CCTAGCTTCCCTTAAAGGCCTTTTTCGACCGCCTAGGGCTCTGTCCGACTAACGACCTTTCCGAATACTAGAATTACGAGAAAGATCGGCAGATATTATAGAGAAGGAGAAAATAGAGTAAGCAGATTAGCCGTCCTTAAGCTAATAGTATACCTTACCTCCTTCTAAAGGTAAGATTAGTCTCTACGGCCTATTATCTATTAACCTTCCTATTTTCAAAGTATAGTCGGCTCTCGTAGTCGGCAATTATAGTTAGTACTCGAGATTCCCTTCGCTAATTTCAATCCCTAGATCCGGAAACTTTGCATCTTTATTAACTCGAGCTCTTAAAGGTTTAAGCAGTTTATCGACCTATAGAAAGAGATGCTTTAAAAGAAGGAGCTATTTACAAAGTACCGTCGGTAGAATAGCGTTCAAGATCGGATCCTAAGGGTCGTTTAAGACGTAAAGATAAGGTAGTCCTTAATAACGTTAATGCTCGATCGCTTTAGTAGACTATAAAGAGTTATCGAATCTTATATCGATCGACTCGACCTAAGTAAAGATATAGGTATCGATTCCGAAGAGTAGTAAAGGGTTAAGTACCTTATCGACCTTACGAAACTATTTATAGCGGCGATAGCAACGATTAGAATAACGAAAGGTCCGACTATCTACCTTGTCCTCGTATACTATAACAAGCTTTTAGACATTCTAGAGGAGGCGATAAAGCGACTTAACAATAAGAGGATACCTTAGAAGAAGGATATATATTAGGTATATAAGGCTACTTAGGCTAAGCTTAAGAAATATTATCGAGATACCTAGGATCGATTTAGCGATTACTACGGTATTAGTATCCTCCTTACCCCCTGCCTTAAGCGGAAGTTCTAGATACGCGATAACTTTAGGGATAAAAGTTACTATAAGTATTACGAGGGTAAGCTAAGAACAGAGTAGAAGAAGAGCTATCGTCTATTATCGAGCACTTCTCCCTATAAGTTATATAGTAGAAGTAGTCGGTATAAGGGCTAGATCGACTTTACTCTTAGTAGGAGTATAGAGTCTTCTTAAACTTAATAACGTAGTACTCGTAAGGGTAACGAGCTTGCCGACTATCTAGACGCTAATATAGATAAAGGGGATCTATTCGAGGTACTAAAGATATAGTCTTCGCTTAAGCCTAAGTACCCTACTCTCGTACTAATAGTACGGGATATTCTCTATATTCTTATAGCCGGAGTTAGGTATAAGCGCGATTTTAGTATCGCTCGATACTAAAGTCGTTTTAATCGCTAATACTCTATATTAATATTCTCTAAACTAATAGTATTCCGTTTCCGCTACTAGGACGATAAGTACAATACTAGAGTTCTTATCGCCTAAGAGGCTATAGAGGCTACTTAAGCGCTTCTTAGTACTCTAACTTTATAGAAGATCCTAAGTAAAGACCGAGAGTAGATAAAAGATCTTATAGAACGGATTAGTAACTTAGATGTAATTAGCGATAATAAGGGAGATAGGGTAGAGGAGCTAAGGCGATCGGTACGCCTAAGCTTTAAGCTTACGTAAGAGTACCTCCGGGATACTACGAGACGATTATAGCGAGCTTGGTTTGAGCTTGTATAAAGTTTACCTACCGACTATATTTACCGACTATAGTACTTAAGTTTCAAAATATTATAAGCTATAATCTAGCGTATATATTCTTCTATATTTATTTATTCGATCTAACTACTCTCTTTATCCTCTTATCTATATCGGGCTTATATATAGTTTCTTTTCTAATACCTAGTTTAAATAACTTGCTCTTAGGGTACTCGATTTCTAGGCTTTTTCTTTCTGTTTACGAAAAATCAATACCTAATAGGTATGCAATACCTACTAGGTATCGTAATACCTACTAGGTTTGTACCTAACCCGATAGGTTAGGTATACCTAGCTAAATACCTATACCTATTAGATATTGCTAATACCTAACCTACCCTATATACCTACTAGGGTAGGTTGTACCTATAATAAGGCCTAGTATATAGGTAGAGGAAGAGACTAGATATATTCGAAGGATTACGGCGAAGCCGCTATAGAAGAGACTATATACTAAGTACGAATATAACGAAGCGATAGAGCTATAGAATTAGTTAAATAGTATAAGCAGACAGGTTACTACTAGTATTCGTAATAGCGATATATATAGTCTACTAGTATTAGAAACGGACATATAGAGCTAATTAGAGGGTAGAGAGATAGGGTTAATAGTTGTAAGTATTCTAGAGACAGCGGCAATCGAGTTTTTAGCATAACTCTTAAATAGAGTTTGATATAATTTGTCCTTCCGAAAAGAGTAATAGTAAGGCAACAAGGCAGTAGTATTACTATAGTAACTAGAATATTGCTATAGTAACGCGCGATTATAGTAAGTAATATATTAAAATACTAGGGTAAATTCGTATATACAACGTACAGACTACGTATTATCGCTACTATATAGGTAACTAGTTTAAGACAATACCCTAAATCGATTATAGGTAATATAGAATTATAATTAGATAAAACCTAATAATACCTAAGGTTAGGACTCTAGTATACTTTATAGAAGATATACTTCGCGAAAGAGTTTAGAAGAGTTAAGAGGATTCGGAAGCGTCGGGTATAATAGGTATATATAATATAGTACTAATCTACGGCTTTACTATATATACTACTTATTATATATAAACGGCGTACTACTCTATACTATATATACTATTAGATATATATTATAGTCGTTATATAGTATATTTAGCAAAATATAGTGTTTCTATAAAAATACTTCGTTTATATAATTATGTAAAATTTATATATATAGATTAGAGGTATATAATAATACCTACTATATCTTTTAGCAAACTTATAGATATAGTTTCCTATATACTATATAAGAACAACTAGGTCCTAGATACTATATATATCGGCAGCGTACTTTATTTGTTTTATAGATATACTATTCCTCAATACTACGTAGAATCAAAACAATTAGGTAAGATATATTATACATATTAATAAGAGGAGACGCTTTTTTCTATATATACGCTATTCTGAATTCTATAACTCTTTTGACTACTACGTCGATTTTAAATATTATAATTAATATTTAGTATATACTAAAAATTATATATAGCAAGTATACTTTATATAAAACTTATTATATTAGAATTGTTATAATCTACAGATTTACTACTACTAATAACAACCGAAAGATAGTATATTAATATACAATAAATATAGTCTTAAGATACCCGCCCCTCTACTAATATAATTGGCCTCTACTACCTCTCTAAGCCTAACCTATACTACGCTTCGGAAGGCTAGGGAGGTCGTTCCGTACCAATGACGTCAAACTTTCGGAGCGGAGATACTACTACCCGGGCCGCCGCATCCTACTACTAGACGTATACCTTCCCGTTGCTAACGCCTACCTTCTACCTCGTTCGAGATGAACAGGGAGAGGGACAGACGGGTGTACGGGAGGGCGTGCAGGTTCTGTGCCAAGCGCAAGATCAAGTGCAATGGCGAGAGTCCGTGCGACAGCTGCGAGAAGAGAGGGCGAGGGAGCTCCTGCACTTCCAACAATCACAATCATGTCGACGACCTTCCCGCTACTTCCACGCCGGGTGGTCATATCGACGAACTTCCACCTGCTTCTACACGCCGTCATGTGCCTGCCTCTACCTCTGGTTCCTCTGTCTCTGCCTCTGCCCGCGCAGGCTCTGCAGAACGCAGCAGTCTGCTTGCGGGCAGGAATGAAGAAGAGCACTCTCCCTCGCAGCTCGGCGTCAACTCGATACCATCCTTTGTCGACTCGGCAACCCACATCGCCCATTTGCAGGAGATGCGCCCGGCTCTTGGCCTGCAAAATGCCTCGCGTCAATACCCTTTCTTGAGCACTGCCGACGACGCCCAGAGACGACCGCCCCGGATCCCCTTCTCACACTCCCAGATCCTGAAGTACTGGCAGGCATACGAAGGCACCCTGTCCAAGCTGTTTCCCTTCGTGCCCCGTCACTGCGACTTGGACGCTCTCATTGTGAGAGCCCTCGAGCTGTCTGCGAGTCGCGAAGTCGGTATGCATCTTCCCACAGACGTCGCTCCAGAGGCCATGGACCCCGGCTCCACGAGCCTGCTATGCGCCGTGTTAGCCTGCGGAGCCCAGATGTCCGACGACAGCCCCGGGCAGCGGGAGCGAATGTCACGCGATTTGGCCCAGCATGCATTCGATTTTGCCCGCTTGGCGAATTGGCTGCTTCGCCCCGAGCACAAGACCCTGCAGGCCATGCTCCTGTTGAGTTTCTTCCTTCAGAATGATGGCCAAGCTGACGGCGCCTGGTCTTTGCTCGGTACCGTAGCACGTTTAGTGATAAGTATTGGACCGGGTGAGATGCCTGCCGCCAATGTCGCTTCTCTGCGAGTCGATAGCCGCAACGACTTGTGGATGATGGTGCGCTGTCAGGATTGTGTCGTGTCTATGTGCTTCGACCGCCCGCCCATGGCGTACCCACAGGATGCAGGATATGGCGGTCCGGCGGGCAGCTTCGCGTCAGACGGGGCGCATGAATTCTACATGAAGGCTTTGATCAAGCTGGGGAATCAATGGTTGGCCGAGCCGGAGGGTGTGAGGAAGCGGGAAGCGACCATCTGCAGTTACGTCGACCGATTGGACACGCTTGAAGTCAGGGAAGACGAATCAGGCGGAACCATGTCGCAACGGCAGAATCGCCAGGCTCTGGTCGAGCAGACGACCGCGAAATTGTTGGCGGGCTATCTTCGCGGCGTGGTCTGTCGGCCGGCATTGTGTACAACAAACGTGTTGACGGGATCCCCGTTCCACGACAAAATTCTGCGCAACGCCATTTCCAGCACGGAACGGACGATGAGCGCCTTTGTTGCGCTGGGGCAATTGACTAAACTCCCACTCCGGACCTGGTGGATGATACACGCCGGCCTCAGCGCGGCCATCATGGTGGAATTTGTCGAAGTGGCGTCGGGGTCCCCACGCCTGCGACATACACAACAAGCCTTTCTAGCTTTATTGTCACGCGAGTCTCGAGCTCCCGTGTCGGAAGGATGTTCCGAAAGGCCTTCGTGGCTCTCAACGTCGCACTCCAACTATCTTCGCGCTCTGCAGGACTATTTGAGGGACCGTGGAGTCGGTAACACAGGTAACGATAGTCACGGCCGCACAGACACCAGACCTCACGACACGGAGAGGGTGCAAGACACAGTAGATCAAGAGTGAGTACCAGCAATTCCTCGTGGGGTCCACAACGGCCTCGCTGACACGTGCATTGCGTCCAAGAATGTACGCACAAGCCAAACGAAACATCGCAAGCATCGGCTCTGCAGGCGCAAGAGACGGAGAATATCTGAGCGAGCTGGAGAATTTCGATTGGAGTAGGTGACCAAATCCGTCGTGGCTTTTTTTGCTAACCCTCATCTGCAAGGTCTAATGTTTTCGGGAAACGATGCCTTCAGTGGCTGGGATCCCACCATCCCCTCTTTGGGATTTTAGGTCGCACAGCTGGTTTCTTCCCGCACTCGGGCCCGTGACGTGCGGCAACGTTCCTGACGTGCAGCAGGTAAAAGTTGAATATGCTGTTTCCCCAGCTCTCCTAGAGATGAGAAATGTTGTGCATACGAAGATTCGCTAGTAAGCTGTTTGGACTCAACTTGGAGGGGACGACTAGCTGCTGACGCGAATTGATATGAAGATTCATCAAAAGAGATCTATCCTTTTTAGGCAAGCCTATGTATATCTATGACCTATAAAGACAATAACAGCTACCTACTTCGACTAGAAACCCCACGACGCCCAGCGCTCGATAACGCTCTTCTGAAGGGACTCTGGGTAGGAGTGCTTGAAGCTCGCCTGTTGCCAGTCCTGCTGACCTCTATACTCCGACGGCATGAGTGCGTCTGAGATGACCTTGCCGCCTTTGATCGGCGACCCGGTGCCGTGCGACATGTACGGAATCAGGGGGAAGCCTTGGCAATCTTCGTAGAAGGTCTCGTCCTTGTTCGGCCGACACCTCGTCGAAAAGGCGAAGGCGATGTCGTCCCATTCGTACACATCAATATCGCTTCCGCATAGCACCAGGCGGTGAATGGTGTATCCCGCTTTGTGGTTAAAGACGAGGTCTCCGACCTGTTTGCGGAACGCCTCGGGAGTGGTGTTCATCTTGCCCAGCTTTTCGATGTCGACCTTCAAAGCCACCCAGGTAACCTGCGTGTGGAAGGGCGCAAACGCATCGGTGATCGGCAGGCCGGCGTCTTGACAGAGTTGACGGATCTGGGCAGCAGCCAGGGGGCCGATCAAGGTGTGCGTCTCGTCGGTGATCCTGCCGCAGTTCGAGACAGGGAGTATAGCACCATTGCGGTAGGTGATGGCGTCCACCTTGTACTTCGGCCACGGGTGGGTGTCTCCGGGAAAGACGTAGCCGTGCATTTCTCCGAAAGGACCTTCCGGTGCCGTCTCCGTGATCGAAAGCGTGCCTTCTAGCACGATCTCTGCATTCGCGGGCACGTACATGCCGTTGGTCTCGCACTTGACGACATCGAGCGCGGAGCCTGTCATGGCACCGATGTACCCCGCCTCCGTGACGCCGTCGGGAATGGGCATACTGGCAGCCATGATGGCGGCCGGCGGCACACCGAAGGCCAACGCCCACGGGACATCCTTGCCCACCTTCTTCCACTGCTGGTGGATCTGCCAGATGTGTTGCGGTTCGATGACGAGTCCGGTCAAGTGGTTTTTGTCGTGGACCATGGCGCGTGCGATGGACCAGTTTGTCCATTTGCCGTCTGGCGACTGCACAATGTGCATACCGTACGTCTGGATGTATTTGCCGCCATCCGCTTGGTGGAGCCATGGCGCGGGCAAGGTGGACAGGTCGAACTCGCCGTCGACCAGCTTATTCTCCTTGACGGGACCGCTCTCCACGATATTGGGCGGGATCGGCTCTGCGTGCGCGGCGGAGAGCATCTTGTCGAGGATGTCTTTCATCGTAGCCGTAGGTGGGAGTGCGAGGTGCCGCGCCACCCGTCCGTACTTTTGCGAAGGATCACTTCGCAGCGACGCTGGGGCACCGAGGATACGCCAGAGTCCATCCTTAGCTCCCTTCAAGTTGTTGAGCAGAGGGGCTTTGCCGTCTGTCTCACAGGCCCTACGAATGATGGCGCCCGCCTCGAGGTGAGGGTCGATTTCGTCGTCGATCTCGATGAGATCTCCATCGTCCTTCAACGCCTGGACGAAAGATCTAAAATTAAGGTGGGGAAGCTCCTGGTTTGCGTGCGAAAGATGCTGCTGCTTGGACGAGCTCATATTTGCGTAGTCTTGGTAGTCTTCTTTTTTCGATTCGTGGAGAGGTCAAGTTGGTGTTCGATGGTGACGCCAGAATTCGGACATGGACGAGCTGCGCTATATAGTCTGCGCCCTGCGCGGATTACCCTCTCCGGACTCATGGGTTTGTGCTAGAAGGATACCTGCACAGTCCGTGACCGGCCCTGCGCTCGAGCGGCCCTATGAGAGGCTCATCATCATCATCATCACGCCGACATGGACAATGTAATACTAGTTCCGGTGCCGCAGGGCACACTAGTCCTCCGAATTGGTGCGGCGGATTGTGCTCCCGCATCTGGTAGCGAGAACGGAATTCAACGGAGAGCTCACGGGATCTCCAGACCGAGACTACGGAATCTTCATACCGAATCCAGAGGGATCTGAAGACCGAGTCCAACGGAATCAGACCAGACCCGATAGTGGTGCTTCGAACCTGCAATAGGGAGGATATCCTGCATGACGGGTACGAGCAGGAGATAATCCAGACCCAGCGCATGACATTCAGTACCATCCGGAGCTCTACGCGATAAGAGAAACTGGCGGAGGCACTGGACTGAGGCCGGAATCTTGGGATGTAGTCGAGCGGACGGGAATCATATCCTAGCGCATGACGCAAAGATCTCCCGTGCCGTGCCACCCGGAAGCTTGCTGGGGCGTGTCTATGTGCTTGCGAGAGAGAGAGAGAGAGCTGCATAAAAAGTATGGCATACCGACGAAGACGGAAAGTTCAACAATATTTTCCAGCTTTCGACGACCTCTACCTGCTGCGCATATACACCTCATCAAACGTTGCTACGCATACCATAGCTGCTCCGCCGTTGCCCGGTGCTGGCAATTTCTGCTCGCAAATATGGTCAACGCTCAAGAGACGAACGGCACCACGAATGGCCACACAAATGGCTACAGTGATCAGCAGACGGCGCGACAACGCATCGTGGTCGCCATGACCGGAGCGACAGGAGCCATACTGGGCATCAAGCTGCTCATCGCTTTACGTCGCCTGAACGTGGAAACACATCTGGTGCTCAGTCACTGGGCAGAAGCCACCATTCGATACGAAACGGACTACACTCCTGCCGCTGTGCGCGCGCTCGCAGACCACAGCTACTCCAACCGAGACCAAGCTGCGCCTATTTCCAGCGGCTCGTTCAGAGCGGACGGCATGATCGTCGTCCCGTGCAGCATGAAAACGCTAGCCGCGATCAATGCTGGCTACTGCGACGACTTGATCTCGCGAGCGGCAGATGTGGTGATCAAAGAACGCCGCCGTCTCGTCCTCAATGTTCGCGAGACTCCGTTGAGCGAGATACATTTACGAAATATGCTGGGCGTAACGCATGCGGGAGCGATTATATGTCCTACGGTCCCCGCATTCTACACCAAGCCCGAGTCCATTGAGCAGCTGGTCGAACAGATGGTTGGTCGTACCCTCGACCTCTTCGGCTTCGACACTAAAGATTTTCCCCGGTGGAGCGGTTACGAGAAGGACTAGGAGGTAATTGCGGAAGGGTGACGGATAGACGTGAGAATGGAGAGACTAGTGTGAAGGCCTTGCCTTTTTATTCCAATCCAGACCAAGTTTATAATGCTTTTTCCATAGACATTTAGCATTGCTCAGAACCTCGTGCCTTTTCTTGACAGTAGTAGGTAGGTCATATGGGCGGCCCTTGGGACATGTCATGATCTGAGGAGGTAGCTTGATTGTTAATTACTAGGGATGTAGTCTTAGCAACCGCGTCCGGGACGAAAATCTCTCATATTAGGTTTCCGCGTCCCCACCAGCGCAGCTCACGGGAAGATGGAAAGTCGATTGACAATGTTTCCGTAGCGAGCTTACTTACCTATTCCAGAGCTTCCATTGTCCTGCCTACGGAGGTACCTGCTAACGATTTCTGTCGTAAATAGTCATGTTAGACGGACCAGCTGGAAAGCTGTAATGGACCAAACTGTAGAGCTCTTTCCGCGTCCGACCGGATTCACACGGCGAATTTCTTGACGTCGATCTGGCCGTAGGAGGAGGCACTGCAATGGTATTTAGGATCAAGATGGTCCCGTTGAGATGTGCCTCCTAGGATCAAGACCATCTCCCCCAACTGCAAAAGACTATAGGAGTCCAAGCACAAAACGCATATCAATCTCTCGAGGAAGATGACGACAACTGCCGGCAATGATCTCTACCATGAAAGGAATTACGAGCCGCACGCGTCCATGGACGAAAAGATGACGGACCTGGCCAAGTTCATGAAAGCGCACAGCATCTGTATGGTGTCCACCATGCGCAACGGTGATTGGGGTGAGGAGATCTCCGCCCGATGCATGGGTCTCGCCGCCACGGTACGCGCCGTGCCTTTTTTCCCTTTTGCCTCCTCCCTCCCGTCCTCCTTTGCCGTTGGCTGACATAACCCGAGCACTGGCTGGCCACAATATGTAGGAACGTGCTGGTGCCGAGCTGATCTTCCATACCAACACGGAATCGAGTAAAACCGATCACTTGGCGAAAGATCCCCGGGTGAATGTCAGCTTCTTGGACCCAGCTGCGGGACAATGGGCTTCGGTGTTTGGAACGGCGTCTGTCGTCGATGACCGCGACCAAGTACGAAAGTACTACTCACCCGCGCTGAAGAACTGGTTTGGCGATCTCGGCAATGGAACCAACGATGGAGGCCCCAACGACCCGAGGATTGGCATCATTAAAGTCCACGCCGAGTCGGTGGCATATGCTATTGTTGAGCCGGGAATGTTGGGCAAAGATGTATGTACCTTATTAATTGTTCATCGCAACGTGACACGGGGGGAAAATCAATGGCGCTGACGACGTGTATACTGTAGGCGTCAAACTACGATGGTCACCAGGACGATATGCCGAGGATTAACAAGCTTCGAAAGCTCACCAAGAAGGAACTCGATGATTGTGAGTTGCTCTCTGCAATTGATACCATAATTTCGCTGTACCTTCACATACCTTACTGATGCTTTCCAAAGGGCGTGCTGCTCACGCCAAGTAGAGAGGAAGTTAGGTACATAGCTCACAAGAAAGGAATAGGTAGCCGCATGCAAGCATATGCATCTAATGCTCGCATCCGGATGCCAGCTTCCTGTACAGCTCTCTGGCTCCGCGACGAATCACACTCCGACACGTTCTTAGTGGGTCGTTGGAACAATATATGTACCTACCTCCTAGCCTCGAGGCACTACGTTCTACGAGAAGATGTAGGAGAATACAAAATTCCTATAGCCATTGCATCCATGTATCACATTGATGACATCCTTTTACTAACTCGCATCAATCACGAGTCTCTCCAACACACACACGCACACATACAATGCTTTCTCTCCTCCTCATTATAGCAATATTTGCAGCTTTGCTTCTAACGTACTCCTTCGTTTTCCATCACCACCTCCCACTGCTACTACCAAGGCAACGGATCAAGAATGACCTTCGCCAACAAATCCCGCTCTACACCTTCGAGGACCGTCCAGATACATACGAGCACTACGTCAAATCCACTCGGCAATTACACTACGGGGGATATCAGAAATACATTCGACATGAACGTCCCTATCGAGTCAAGACGAGCGCTGGCGGGGAGAGAATTATCTTGCCATTCAAGTATCTGCCCGAGATCAAGAACGCCTCGCAGAAGGTGATGAGTCTGCCGGATGAGATGGAAGATTTGCTGTTGATGAGGTATACGGGTGTACCACAGAGGACGTAAGTCTGTTGTTACTGTTTCGTGGGAATCGTAGTTCGATGCTTTGATTGATGAATGATGATATATGTGTATATCGTGCAGTGATTCTGGGACCAAAGTGGTTCGCGTAGACATCACCAGAAATCTCGGGAATTTCGTTGACGCCATGAATGAGGAGTGCATTTACGGCTTCGAGAAATACATGCCATGTCACGGCGAAAGCTGGCAGATTGTCAAACCCTACCACGTCTTCGCCAGGATCGTTGCCTTGATCTCCGGTCGTGTCCTGGTGGGAGAAGAGTTATGTCGAAATGAAGATTGGATTCGACTGAGCATGGACTTCTCCACGCATGCGTTCGGAGCGGCGCGCACGTTGCGGAGTGGCAACAAATGGCCGTGGTCGATGTGGTTAGCCTCGTACACCGAGCCTGCTGTCAAGGCCATTTTGGAACGAAGACGAGAGGCAGAAGCTCTGATGAAGCCCGTGTGTGAAGCACGCCTCCGTCGACGCAGCACCAACGACGCTAATTGGAAGATTCCCGAGGATGGAATCCAATGGCTACTCGACAGCCATTCCCACAGTGGCGAATCAGCCGAAGAGGTGGTCAAATCCCAATTGCGATTGACCATGGCAGCGATCCACAACACCACAATGAGCGTCACCAACGACCTGTTTGATCTCCTCTCGCATCCAGAATACATCCCGATCCTTCGAGATGAAGCCCGACAAGTGCTCGCAGAAGAGGGCGGCGGCGACGGCGGCGGTGGCGGGTGGACCAAACAAGGGCTGACCAAGATGCGTAAAATGGATAGTTTCATGAAAGAAAGCCAACGTATGAATCCCTCGACGCCCATCACTTGCAAAAGAAAGGTGGTGGAAAATTTCGCTCTACACGATGGACTGATATTACCACGTGGCTGTCATGTGGCTTTCACGTCGGATGCTGTGAATCGTGATGCGGCCATTTATGAGCGGCCAGACGAGTTCGACGGTTTGCGCTTCTATCGTCTGAGGACAGCGAGGCCGGCAGCGGAGAAGACGGGCACGATATCTGCTAATGAGACTAAATATCAATTCGTGACTGCGACGCAGGAATATCAGAACTGGGGAGCAGGTGGACATGCTTGTCCAGGAAGGTTTTTTGCGAGCAATGAGATCAAGCTGATGTTGGCGTATCTGGTGGAGAATTATGAGTTTCGTTGGAAGGATGGCGAAGGCAGACCGGAGAGTGCGGTAATTGATTGGAATATTCTTCCCGATCGAGAAAAGGAAGTCATGTTTAGACGCAGAGTGGTAGGAGGTAGGAGGTAGGAGGTAGGAGGTAGAAGGTAGAAGGTAGTGAGGCAAGGCACAGGTAGCTCGTGTCTTGTCCAACTCTTTCACGAATTAATTATCACGCAGAAGTTCGAATACGGATGGCGCTCAGAGGTAGGAGGTAGTGGAGCAGCTGATGTGGATGATTCGCGGCCGAGGTCATGAGAGGAGGTGTGATGATGGTTGATGGCATTCGAAACCAAGTCGCGTGACATGGAACTTGGCACAGGCGCAGTCTCCGGTCGTCAAGTTGCAACAGCCTTGCGCCGTCGTGTCGAGTCAGCGGGGATACAACCCTGCGCTTCTTCGGCTCGGCGGCAGTTTTCGCGCATCAACGAGTACCGTACGGCGTACGTAAGTAGGAGGTAGGTCACGAGGTATGTAGTATACCTATCCACGGCTCGTGAGAATATCAACCTGCTACTCTTGGGCCCAGGTACGACGAAGACGGGAGGGGAGGAAGCTGAACGAGAAACATCACCCGAACAAGAACATATCTGACCTCATATCAATACTCACTCCATCATGGGCGCTGCAGAGAGCAGTAACGAAGCACCAGCAGCGGCAGCAGCAGCACCACCGCCAACCACAACCACCACCACCACCGATCCCTCATTCCCCGGCGAACAAAGTAGACAGGACGAGGAGCACGTCCACGTCAGTCTCACCCACGCCCCCCTCGACGCCTCCGCCCAACTGTCCCTCGTCAAAAGCCCCAAAGCCGGCGCCGTCGTGCTCTTTGCCGGCTGCACCCGTGACTCCTTCTCCGACCGCCCCGTCACCCACCTCTCCTACAGCACCTACGCTCCCCTGGCCCTCAAGACCCTCTCGCGCATCGCCTGTCACATCAAACGGCAACATCATCTCACTGCCATCTCCATCGTCCACCGCCTCGGACAGGTCGACATTGGGGAGGAGAGTATCTTGATTGCCGTGTCTGCACCGCATCGCAAAGCGGCGTGGGAGGCCGGCGAGGCATGTCTGGAAGATGTGAAACGACAGGCGGAGATTTGGAAAGAAGAGTGGTTTGCGGATGGAGGGGTGTGGAGGAGCAACCGCGATGGACAGGCGGGCGTACCTGTGCGAACGGGAAGCAAGTCGGAGAAGGGCAAGGGCAAGGAGAGGAAAGTCTCGATTTCTGCTGTTTCGACTTCTGCTCCTACTGCCACGAGTGCCGCAGATGTGCTGCCTCTGACAACCACCACTACTTCGAGGAGGAGGAAATCGAGTGCTGCCAAAGGTTCGACGACGCGCGCGAGCATGGGACTCAAGAAGTCTGCTACCGAACCTGCTCCCGCGAGGCCTCAGCCTATTACGAGGACGACGACGTTTTATGAGGGTGGGTTTGAGATTTGAGAGCCAGACGGACAACTGTTGTGGAAAGCGTGCAATCATTCTTCACGTGGACTCTTTTTCTATTCTTATATCCTTTGCTTTCCGGGAACATTGGAAAGTGCACGAGGGCGGCGCGGATGTTGTACGGGAGTTTTGCTCCCCATTCTTTCACAAATTGAAATGCTATGCATATGGCATTGGCAACGATGATGATAATGCGGATACCTTACCTACGATTGATGAACAGACTATAGTCAAATCACGACAATGCTGGAACCAGTGTTCAGATTCCACAGCTCGTTGACGTCTCTAGGAGAGTGATCGACCACACTAACAACAGAGACTCAGAGAGTGAGGTACCTGACCTCTCGTTGAGGGGAGGCGTTCGGTCCGGGTTGTCTCAATTCAATATTCAAGGAGCTCGAGTATACGCATTATTACTGCTGCTATAATTTCCTCTGCGGCTCTCTCGCCAGTCACGAATCATCTATTCAGACCGCCGTGGCTGAGGCACCACCACGCAGGCTACATAGTCCTGTCTATTATTATTAACATCTTACTGCGAGCCTCACTACCGGCTCATGACTGTCATGCAGCCTCACTCTCCACATGCGCACACTTTTGCCGTTTGCTGCTGTCTGAGCCCGGCATCAGGTTGCTGGTGCTACCATTGCGGGAGGGCGTCATGGCTCCAAAGTCAAAGGAAAAAGAGCCAGCCCTGCTTCTAGCGATTCGTGGAGTAGCACTTCCCGAGCCCATGGCGGCACTGAGGTCTGTTCCAGCGCGGCTCGGTCTTCGACTGGAAAGCCGGCTGGCTCCATCCAGTGACACGTCGTATTTGTAGTGCGTATCATTCTCTCGAATGTTCGCTCGGAAGGTACTTGCCAGATGAAGTGCTTCGTCGTGCTCTGCTGCGACAAGTGATGGCCGTCGAGAGGAAGGCGTACTGGGCAGCTGGGCCGGCGTGGCAAACCTGATGCTGCTGGGCCTTGAAGCTATAGTAGTGGTGGATCGAGGCGTCAAGATTGGTCTCGGGCCGGGAGCGAGTGCGGTGGGTGTCGACGGAGACGAGCGGGCCACGAACAGCTTCTCGGCAGCGATGCGTGCACGCTTCTCGGCGAGATGTTGCCGCCGTTGGATGGTCCTGCGGTATGTCCAATCGTACAGCAATGCGCCCGAACACATCGAATAGCCCAGTCCGTAGACGAGCAGGGCGAACCAGATGCCCCACGTGCCCAGCAGCGCCTGGGGGCCACCGCACATGATGACCAAGGGCGAGAGGAGCAGCATCGGAAGAATGGTGAGTCCTGCGAGGGCGAGGCAGCAGCAGCCAATTGCTCCGGAAATGATACCATCCATGCTGTGAGGAGGAGTGAGGATGGATGCGAGCGGTATGCGTCGGTGCGGTGGGAGAGAATGCCCGATACTACTGTATGTCCTGGGGATGTCGCCAGCAGTGGATTGCTGCTCGACTATGGGGAGGTCACATCACATGCTGGAAAGGAATGAATGGAAGTCAAGTAGGAGGTACGCTGTCGGTACTGGTTGATCCTTCTGGGCCTGTTGAGGGATGGAGGGAACGAGGTGGAGGTGTGGATGATTTATTTATGAGGGGGAAGTGCCATGGAAGTTTAGGAGGTACCTCCTAGTGGCGTTGGGAGTGGAGAGATGGTTTGATGGTGAGAGCGACCCCCCCTCATGTACGTTTCAGGCACCACAGCGATCATGCCTGATTATGGACTCTGGACCCAACCCTGATACATTCATGTTCTCGGGTACATACCCATCGTTTGAGTCAGTGAGAGGAAGATAAGTTTATGGTGGAAGAACCTAGAAGCCACGAGAGGAAGACATTGCATGGGAAGATGGAAGTCTTTCTCGACGCCTCTTCCACCTCCCTCCCATGCGCATAGCACTGTAATCTGACTAAGCAGATCTCGTTCCGCCGCTGGGCTGCCTGGGCATGTCTTCATCTTGGCATCGTGATGTCAACATTGGAACCTCAACATGCCCAGGTGAGCCTCATCATCAACAACAACATCAACAACATCAACCAGATGGCACTGCCGGGCGGCGAGGTCGAGTTCCCATGGCATCTGGGAGTGTTTGACGCCCATTGCCATCCCACCGACACACTTGCCAGCTTGCAACAGATTGAAGGGATGCATGCAAACGTCCTCACCATCATGGCCACTCGAGCACAAGACCAAGCACTTGTAGCAAAGGCTGCCGACGACATGGGCTTAACAGAGGCCGACGTAGCCCAGGGAGATGTAGATTGGAGGTAGGGCGGAAGCAAGCTGCGGTGCCCCGTGACGAGCCCATACCACCCGGTGCACTGCTGACTTCACGTCAGTAAGCAACACAAGGTCATTCCCGCCTTTGGTTGGCATCCGTGGTTCTCACATCAGATGTTCGACGAGTCGGACTACGGTAATGTAACATCGCTCGACGATGAGCAGAAAGTCTTGCACTACCAGAGCGTGCTCACGCCCACATCAGACGATCAGGCCTTCCTGCGATCATTACCAGATCCTCGGCCTGTAGGTCACTTCATGGCCCAAACTCGAGAGTACTTGCGAAAGTATCCTCTCGCCCTGATCGGCGAGGTTGGACTCGATCGAGGCTTCCGGATACCGGGATCATGGCTCCCAGGAGAGACTGACCAGCGAGATGAAGGCCTCACTCCAGGCGGCCGAGAGGGACGGAAACTCAGCCCGTACAAAGTCAAGATGGAACATCAGAAGAAAATCCTCCTTGCACAACTGACTCTCGCAGGCGAACTGCATCGTGCAGTATCTTGTCACGGCGTTCAAGCTCACGGCGTGGTCTACGAAACTCTTGCTCACACATGGAGAGGGCACGAGAAGAAGGTCTTGTCGAGACGAGAACAGAGGACGGCAGAGGCTGCAAGGCGAGCCAACGCCGAGTCCCTGGAAGAAAGGACAGAAGAGGCCTCAGCGCCCAAGCCCTTTCCCCCACGCGTGTGTCTGCATTCATTCTCTGGACCTGCTGAAACTGTTAAGCAGTATATCGCGCCTTCTGTCCCATGCGAAATCTTCTTTAGTTTCAGCACGACCATCAATGCCTGGGCCGAAGACGGCAATGGCAAAGTGGAAGCTGCTGTAAAGGCAGTGCCGGATGATATGATCCTCGTTGAGAGTGATTTGCATACAGCCGGAGACCGGATGGACGGCTATTTGGAAGAGGGTATCCGGAAGATCTGTGATGTGAAGGGCTGGGAGTTGAGCGATGGGGTTCGAAGACTTGGGAACAACTGGAAACGGTTCGCACTGGGGCGGTAGTCAAAATGTGGCCTCCTTAGACGAGACAACAATGCTTCAGCGAATTGCAGCGAAGTCAATCGACTGTTGCACATGGTCTTTGTGCTCGCAAACATCGAACGGCCAGCGTTTGATTGAAAGATGGTCCCTGTTCCCAATCGACCGCTGCCGCTGCCCTGCTGTTACCCCTTCGTCCACCCCAGCAGCTTATTGACATGTCGCACTTCCGCCTCGAACCTCCGCCGAGTTACCTCATACCACACCAGTGCCTCTCTTCCAATGGCTCCCGAGAGCAGCTGCCCAATTTCGAAAGCATTCCCAGTAATCCAACAAGATACAGCTATGACAGCACGTCGCTTGCTCCACGGCGCGCTGCAGTTGTAGTCCGACAGGAATTATCAGAAACCTCCCCTAACTCGTCCGCCTTGTTCGAACAGATTCCCCGCTCGACGCACAACAGCGACATTCTCCTTGCTGACGTCGCAGCGCAGGGCAAGCGACTGCGCCGCAACAACTTGGCCTCTCGACATCTACGCACGATCGGTACAGCAGAGCACGCTGGCGCTCACAGTCGCCGACCACAACAGGATCAAGCCTATCTGAGCAGATTGTTCTCTACTGACACAGATCTACTACGAGTGCCTGTCTCTGGAAGCGCGACCTCACTACGGAACCTGGCCGCAGCAATCAAGGGTGGCCTTGCGATCAGTCCCATCGACAGCATATCCGCAGCGGCCGCATTCGAGTCCTCTCTAGTGCCGATTCAAGCAGCCTCTATCCTTCCATCTCCAGCGCAGATGGTGTCTCTCTTCAACGCTCCACTATCCATACAGCGAGCATCCGGGCTTGATATTGCGAATGACTTTAGCATCTACGAGGCAGAGAGTGCTCGCAATTCCTGCACTCCGCTATTGCTGGCCTACAAGGAGATTGACTGTGCACGACAGTACCTCGAGATCTGCTCTCGCTACCAGGATGTTGGTTCTGTGGTGGAGATTGGTATCCTAACACTGGACGGCAATCGATACACGTTCGAGGTGTTGCCAACGATCTCGCGCAAGACTTCCACGCACACTCTGTTTCTCTTTCGGCAACTTACAGATAGCTTCTATAACAGCTACAAAGAGGTATATCGCCCCTTCGTCTCGGTGAGCCCCCTTCCCAGCATGCCCGCTGAGCCCCTGCGCGGCCAGTCGCGAGGTCTATTGCTCAGCTCCGATATGAAGATGACACTTGCGAAAGCGGTGCGTATCGGGCTCACTGATCACGGAGAGACAATAAATGAGATGATCCTCAGAGGCAGGTTGGACTACCTGCCTGTCTCACCTGTCTCGACTCCCTCGCACACAGCTCAAACGGACAGAGCTCAGCGCGATAGCCGCACGATCCCGTCCGGCATCGAGGGAGTGCACATCCTCCGGGCGGCTCAAAGGTACACCAACACCGAACTGCACTCTCTCATTACTGCATCGGGCAGTGAAGTCAGCTACAACTCCGTCACTAAGCGCATCACAAACGCCCTCAAAGCGCAAGCGCGGCATAGGCTTGTTCCAGGGGAAGACCTCGCGCGAAAATATGAGCAGATGCGGAAAGCGTTCAATTCCCAACGCGCTGCCAATCTCGAAGCTCTTGTCGTGCTGAATGCTGGACGGAACTCGAAAAAGCACAGCAGAAGCGATAGTGGGTGGGAAACGGCGCAGAAACGGCGCAAAACGGGAGGCAACGAAGGGGAAGCTTCCACAGTGCGTCGCTCTATTCGCTTACGTCGTAGTCCTGTATTACGTGAAGAGCGCTCTGGTGCAAAGGGGGACGCTCTCATTCTGGCTGCCGCAGACGAGTCTGAGCGGGAACGGGAACGGGAGAGCGGGAGTAGTGATGGTGATGATTCAGATGGCAGCGACTATGCGGAAGACCACTGACCGATGCCGAGTTGAGACGTCTTGGTCCTTCCTCGTCTTCCACCTCTTCCGCATTCACCAGCTACCTTACCTTCACCATGGCGGCCGACCTCATTCAGACAGCACGCACCCAAGCAGCGACCCTCTCCGCTGACAGCCCGTGTTCGGACGGGCTGCTCGTCCTGCACCCACTTGCGGCCTACATGACCAGTCTGCCTACCCCTGCGATGGTACTGGTCACCGACTACGCCCTCTGCTTCGACACGGGCGCCTCTCGAAAAGCATATGGCCGCTCGAATGCTACGAAAGCCGACAAAACTACCACATTTTCCACAATGAGCGTCGCAATTCGAGCCCAAGGCAATCCTGACATTCCACGCGTCTTTCTCTGCGGAAGTCAACACCGCAAAATCGGTGTCAAAGATGCAGCAGCAGATCACTGGCACTATGTGATGGTCATGAAGCTTGCCGGCGCGTGGCACATCTTTACCACTGGTGGAGTAGAGGATCATGGCACGGGCAAGGCTCGCGTAGTGTCGTTACAGGGCATGTCGGTCGTGGCGCATCTCCTTCGCCAGACCCACCGTAAGCCTCAAGCGACGGCGTGGGTCAAGAAGAGAGAGGTGGAAGAGAGCAGTTGTATTGCTGATGCGGTCGAGGCGGCGATGGAGGTCTTCGAGGCGGTTGCAGTGCATGGAAAGCAGGGCGAGGAGATCTTGTCGTACCCCGGTCTTGTCGCAGGACGGAAGGGGGTGGTATTGACGCTGTAGGATACCATCTCCGCCCAGAGAAATTTCGAGTCTGCGATGGCCGCACCGCATGCACAGGGCCGATTATTCTCCCATTGCTGTTTACCTACCAGGTAGGTATGTATTCATCAGAGGCATGCGCACAAAATGTATTCGGCAGAGCACTCCTTCAGAAGTTCTGATTACTCAGCCCTTCCGAGTGTTCCTTCCACCATACCATCTACCAGGTACATGTACCTGACTACCTTATTCCTGCGTTCCCCTTCGCCGTCGTCACAAACCACACCTCATGCACCCAGGTACATATCCCATACCGGTGTTCTTTCACCATCATCACAAACCGGTACCAGTCCCTTCTAGAGCTTTCTGGCACTCACCACTCTTTCATCAGTCCGCTGGCCTTGCCGGTACCTGCCACCATCATCGCCGTACCATCGCAGACACCGTCACCGTCACCGTCACCGCCGCCGTCGATCCGGGCCATCGCCGATGCGCACGCCTGGTTCACGCGTCCACCCGTGCAAGTATTGTACAGCCACGACGCCGAGCAGGACTCTGAGTGGCTACCGCTTACGGCTTCACCACTACCGACCGACTGCTCCCTCGCCAACCCACGACGTGACGCGATCATCAGGACTCGATGGCCGCAAGCGAGCGGTCTGGCGCCGTTGAGCACACCTCGTCCCGGCACCCCTGAAGGAAGCGCGCAAGGCAAAATACGAGAGAGTGAGGAGGAAGACTGGAGCTAGCGGATTGACTGGAAGACAAGCAAAGTCGGCCATGTGCCTCATCATAAGTCAGCACGACGCATTCCCGAGCGCCGCCGCTGATGAGCAATCGGATGCTGCCACAATGATGGACCTTCTGTGCTTAGTCACGCGTTCCGACTTCCGAACTTCCGATGCTTGCTAGCCTCCATCTCGGCGCATCCCATAGCACTCGCGTCGTTCTATCGACTTCTCTTGATTCTATCCCCTTTGGCGGAATTTCGGTCTGTTTCTTCAGGTTCTCGAGCAGGCCTGGCTCTCTATAAGTGGTAGACCGACTTCGACGTCACCTTCGCCATCACTCTGTGTCCGCGGAACATCGAAACCAAACCTCACGGGAACGACCGGAATGCATGGCTACCTAGTGAACGATGTTCTGTCCTGTATCATCATCCCCAGCACTTTTTCTCTTTCTCTCTCTCTCTCTCTCTGATGTCATTGCCATATTCGCGACTAGTTTTACCACATCTGGCAGGAGGCACGTCCTGTTGGGACGGTTTGTGATCACTCGTAATTCGTACTGCAGGACTCCGAACCCTTTGGTAAATTGGCGTGACCCACTTCATGCCTTGCGCCGATGAACTTCCAAAGGGATGCTGACCAAACCAAGAGATGCTGATGCAGCAACGGCGGATATCATCGAAGTGGACACCATGGTGCTCCATTTATACTGCCTAGACTCCCCACGGAGGCTGCCTCGAGCATCGACTGCATCATCAGACAACAGCCGCTATGAGAACCTCCCACATCTCCGCCGCCCTCAGCGCCCTTGCGGTGTGCGCATCCGCCTACAGCCCGCTGACCGATGTCGACACGCGCTCCCTGGATGAAATCTATGCCGAAGCTCGCAAAGAGGATGGCATCCTCCAGGTCTTCTGGGGAGGAGATGCAGCCGCCCAAGGCGACGCGATCAAGACCGGCTGGGCGCAAAGGTTCCCGGACGTCAAGATGAACTTGACGGTGGAACTCAGGTATATATACCACCCATGCTACAAACGAGGATCCCCGCGTGACTAATCATCGCAGCAAATACCTCGACAACCGGATCGATCGCGGTCACCTGCAAGGCATCCACACCGCGGATGTGGTGGTCGTGCAGACCCTGCAAGACTTTCGCAGATGGAAGGCGGAAGGCAAACTCTTACGCTACAAACCAGCCACATTCGAAGATATCCTCTATGCCGAGAAGGACCCCGATGGATATTTCATGGCGCAAGCGATAAGTATGGGCACCGGGACCACACCTTCCACCCTGCTGCCGATGCTAACCGCGGGATTGTAGTGACCTTTGGCGCCTTCATCTACGACGAAACCAAGATCAATGCCTCGGAGATTCCGACCTCGTACGCTTCCATGCCCGACAAGAAGTGGAAGGGCAAGCTCATCCTGACCTACCCCAACGATGACGATGCGGTTGCCTACCAATTCTCTCTAATGGTCAACCGCTATGGGTTCCAATGGCTATACGACTTGGCACAGAACGATGTCCAATGGGTTCGAGGCACCGGCACTCCCGTCCTGACGATGGGATCTCGCCACAACGACACCTCATTCGGTCGCGTCCTTTCCTTCACCTCGTACGATTCTGGCGCGAGCTTCATCGGAGCCAAGAACCCCGAGGCGCCTGAGCAGTACCTGACGTGGGCACAAAGTGGTGCCATTCTCGCGGACACACCAATGCCAGAGTCGGCCAAGCTGTTCATGTCGTACTTGACCAGCGTGGAGCGACAGAATGCGACGGCAGCGACGGGGACGGCTTCGATCTTGAACTCGGTCAATGCAATGTATGGTCTCACTCCGGACTCCAATGCGACGCAGCTCTCGTCTTTCCGGCTCTGGGAGCAGGATCGCAACACGGTGGAGTGGTGGAAGAACCTGTTTGAGGAGGTGCTGGGAACGGCACAAGGCCCCGGACCGATGGTCATGTATCCTGACAATGCTCCATTGGTAGGATGAGGGGATGTGGAAGATCCGTTTGCGGTGTAGAGGACGTACGTACATACCTATAATTGAAATATATGTAAATCCTGTTCCGTGACGAAGCAAACACGACACAACCTCCTCCCCTGACGACTACTGTACAGTACGGAGCAGCGTCGGGTTGTCTGAGCCGAATAGAATAATACTGTAGGTAGGTATTCTCACTGTTGATGACATAAGTCGTGTCGGATGAACTGTTTTTCCGATGCCGAATGTGCGACCTCCATCCGTGGATTAATCTGCCGCTGCCATCAACATCAACATGAACACGAACATTAACATCAACATCAACGTCAACATCCACAGAATCCAACCGATATGGCTTGCCACTGCATGTGATACATATCTGTACCGATACCCCCATCTCCTTGCACATCGATCATGACCAAATACTTGGTGACGGAGCCGCCCAAGAGCGTGGCAGCTCAAACCTGGCACACGCTGTTCAAGAAAGCATTACTGAAACGATATCGTCCGGCAGAGCTGGCGAGAGCATTCAAAAGCCTGCGAGCCCGCCATCCCACCAATCCTGCCCATATCGCCGCGACTCTGCTCGGCTTCCGGACCGCCCATGGAGGCCCTGACGATGTGCTCCTGTTTCAGTATGCCGAGTTCCTGCTGAAAGGGAACTACTTCACCGCAAGCGACCTGTTGGCCGCATTGCTCCAGCACTCGACCTTCTACACCACCAAAAGCTGCCCCATCAGCAGAACCAACATGCCCCGGTGTGAAGAGAGGATCTTCACGCTTCTGACGCAATACTTTGTGAACACCGATGCCCCGTTCTTCCCGACCACTGCTCTGGAGCTGCAATCGCTGGTGCACATGGTCTGGCGATGGCTCAAAATCGTGGGCGAGGAAGCAGTGGGCAAGCAGCTGGCGGGTGTGCAGACCATCGATGCTCACATCACCAGCCTGTACGATGCCCTGGCGCGTTTGGCTCTGGCGACACTGGGGAACAAAGGAATGCGCGTCGTGATGCGACACCAATGGTGGAAGGAGCGTCGTGCGACGGTGTTGGCCGAGTTGGAGAGCTACGATGTGAATGTGCTGCAGTGGATCAACTCGCCACTCTCCGGACAGCTGCGGAGCTTGGCGACGGTGGTGCCCTACGTGGAAATCGACGCCACTGGCAAACCCGTCTTCTCCGACGAGCAAATACTGGCCCAGGTCGACGAGCTGCCAGTCGTGCGATCGCGTGCAGGCGTGTTTGTGTGGCTCAGTGCGGCCTTGGTCGCCAGACCCTTGACCGACGATATGACGATCCTCAGTTACCTGCAAGGTCGATATTCGGACGACCCGCAATCACTCGTCGTCGATCTGCTGGTCGCCTCTTTTGACGTGCTCACGAATTGCATGCTCACTAAAGAGTCTCGCCAGGACGTCAAGATCGTGCGCTCCTTCATCTGCAACAAATTGCCCATCCTCATCACCATGGTGGCAAGCAATATGCAGCCTCCGTTGCAATCCGATGAATGTATCCAGATGGCCCTGATGCCGGGCGGCATGATCTCCATCGACCCCTTGCCTCCACTTTCCACGGGTGCAACAGATATTCGGGACAGTCTGAAGACGACACGACTCGAGTTTCTCCAAGCCTGTGTGCTGCATGGTCTCTTGACCGAGCATACCGTCGCGCAGATCTTGCAAGAATCTGTCGCCTTGCCGAGAGTCGTGAAGCTCAACAAAGACAGCCTAGCGGCACAATGTACCAACAATACCAGCAAATTGGGCGAGTACGTCGAGGAACTTGCGGGCATGCAGGGCAACGTGGGCGCCATTGCCGGCTGCATCGTCGATACAGTGACCAATCTGTGTATGAGTAAAGACACCATGGCTCTCAAATCGGTCTGCGATAAGTTGATTCGACGAATCCCATATATGGACTTTGTGATGCAACATACCCAACCGGGCATGCTGCTGCTTCCGCTGTGCAATCTCCTCAACGATTGGGTACACGATCAAGATCAGACGGAATTCACGCCCGCCTACGAGGAATTTGCATCGATATTGCTCTTCACCCTGGCCGTCCTCTACCGATACAACTTGGCGTTCACCGATGTCGGAATCCATGGCGAAAGCTTCATCGCCAAGTTGCAAGAAGAGATGACTGTCAGCAGACCACTTACCGAGCTCCAGCCTGAGCAAGCCTCACAGCTGACGCAATGGATCGAAGGGTTGTTCGCGGTCGATGAGCATGGTGATACGAGTGGAATTGGCGACGATGTCATGCGGCAATGCTCTCCACAGGCTTTCTATACGCTGGTGCCGACGCTGTTTGAGCAAAGCATCCTCGCATGCCGCATGAAGGTACTGCCGATGAACACACTCAAATCCGGTCTCGAGCTCCTCCTGGAGCCTTTTCTTCTTCCCTCTCTGATCATGGGCCTCGGCTGGTTAGCGAAACATTCGTGGGAGGACCACCACGACGCCGAGACGTTGATCCACGTCCTCGAGAAACTGTTGAAACCAGCAAGCAACGCACCGGAAACCCAAGCCATGCATCGAGCAGTTCTCGCCATGGTCGCTACACCACTCTACCATTCTTTGGCAGATTACTCGACCAAGCGCCCCAACAAGAAAGTGACGGAGTTGATGGAGCTCCTCAAACCACATCTCCACCAACAGAGAGCGGTACGGTGTCGACAAGGCGAGATGGAGCAATGGGTGCAGGCCAGCGGCAGTCTCGAAGGATGTGTACAGCGGACCATCCGTGATTTGATCACATGGTCAGCCTCCTCCACTCGCCCTCCTAATCCGCCACCACAGCACACGCCCAGGACCTTTGCTGTCGCATGCCAACTACTGGACGGCGATAAGCACCTGCAGCTGATCATCGCAGAGATCAACAAGACCGAGTACGCCAACGTTCCGATTGCACTCGATGTGTGTACCTCCTTGATCTGTGCGCCCGCACCGGTGCCAATGGGAGCGCAACAAGCCACACACTGGACGTCGCCGACGGGACGACTGCGGTCACGCGTGCGTTTGGAGAGCTCCAACGCACAGGGTCTCCTCGACAAGCCCAAAAGCCAAGCGGCGTCACTTGTTCGGCTCGGTCGGCGAGTAGAGGCTCAAATGTCATTTGCGACGCAAATTCCCGCGATCACGATGCCCCTGCAAAACCAGGCTGCCGACCAGATGATGCAAGACCTGGGCCTCACGTTGGACAACAACGCAGGCGACAGCAACGTCGATGCCACCATGACTGCCAACACGGCTGCGATGGCGTCCAATGCCGACATGTCGGGCATGGACCAGCCGATGGACCTCTCCAATCATCTGAATACTTCCTCCACTGACGAGCTCGCCAAGTTGAATGTGGATAGCAGCGCGATGAACATCGATCAGAATGATCAAATGTTTGCAGATTTTGGACTGAATGTGGGCGATGCACCACCTAGCGGCCAGAGCGGAGGAGGCATCGCGAACCAGGACGAAGACATATTCGCAGGTCTGAATATGGACATGGGAGAACTGGATGACTTCACCTTTGATTGAGCTCATCATGTATTGTGATCTAGGTGGAGATGGACCTTGGTTGGAAATGCAGCTTGTGTTGCAGAGGTCCTTACAAGAGAATATAGACTTCTAACCACCAAGTTTCACTGAGCATAAAAGGGAAAAAATAATTGGAATCTGGTGCCTATATGTAGTCTCACGGCTCTCACCACTGTGATGACCTCGGATAGGGACGGATAGGGACGGTCCGTTGTAGCCTATATGATTTGCTGGTGCTGCACTCGGAAACGTCCGTTACTGAATTCTCAAGCCCGAGCTTCTCCAATGTCTTCCTCGAGTCACATTACCTCCCCGGGCACCGTGTGTATATATATACCTCTACTCTAGTACGCAGTACCTCATCTTGCAAACGAGACCACGGAACCGGAGGAGACACGCAACGCAAAGAACGGAGACCACATTGGCTATATACCTTACGCTGGGAAACCAAATAAATATAAGAAGAGAATCGAGTGAGAACAGACGAATCCTCACGACATCTCACTGCAGCCCCAATCCTCGGCGTGACATTGAACAATATGCCTTCGCGTGTCTCCCGAGCCGCTCCTACGCCGCCAGTAGTCGCACGGTATACAGAAGAATCCGTGGAATTCCAAGAAGCTTACGAGATGGCTCGTGTAGATCTGGAGCGCGTAGACTCAGTGCCTCTTCTCACTGGGCCATCGGACTATCATGATTGGTTGCGAGACTTTCAAATAGTCTGCCGACAGATTTGCGTCATTGATTTCTTTGAAGGACAGGAAGATCTCCCGTTACCTCCAGAAGCTGGCGAGGATGCCCCTGTGGAGGAATACAATGAATATATGCTGCAGCTCGCCGATTGGACTGGGATGAACGACTCCATTCTCGAGTGCATTCGGATAACCTGCAACCCTTTGATGAGATCCAAGATTCCCACGGACGTTTCTACCGTCTCTGCGGCCCGCGCCATTCTGCGCGAAGAATGCAAACCGACTTTCGACCTGGTCATGTCTCTGTGGCGAAGACTGCACGAATATACCCTCGATCAGGCTCCGGATTTCCTGTCGTTTCGTTACGAATTCGAGAACCGCTTTGAAGCCTTCAATCGTCTTGAAGGAGGGATCGTTTTGGACGATAACCACAAAAGCCTGTTTTTCCTGTGTGCGTTGGGTCCGGAGTTTAGTTCCTGGATCAGTATCACGAGCCAAATGTACCGCATTGCTGGGTACAGTTACGGCTCTAAAAAGGACTTGACGTTCCACGACCTATCAAGCTATGCGGAGAACTACTGGCATTCGATCCAACGCAGTAAAGACACTGACCTTAATGTGAAAGCGCATCGATCATCATCGTCCGTCGCCTCCCGTAAGAGAACTTTTGATCATCGAAACGGTGACGGCCGTCCGCCCTTTGGCGTTCTTCTGGGTCCGCCGGACAGACCCTGCCAGTGGCCAGGGCACAATGGTACGGGTGAAAGGGGTCATACGAATGGAATGTGTATGAAGCAGAATAACGACCTGTGTCGGGAATTCAAGAAGCGCTTCGCAAATGGCTATACTGCTGCTCCCTACGAGGGCAGTCCCGGATTTAGAGGGACGAGCTCCTTTTGAAAGTGCATTATTACGGTTTGAGTGAAGTGGTCTGTCCTAGTGGAGGCAGGCAAGTAGTCAGAGCCTGGCGTGGCACGTAGGAAGAGGGCGAGGATGTATCAAGCACGCACAGCTGCGAGCCTGGTATAAGACGTTGGACTTTTTGTACTGTCGCGAGCGGGTATAGGCGACAGGGGACTGTGGTCCGAGTAGCACGCACGACTCGTTGTATCATATTTGGTTTCTCCCGCTGAGGATGGATAGCTCAGGAATGCCACGATCTGCATGCGCTGTGTGGAGTCGCCGATCCTGCAGGGCTCGTGTATCTGGGGTGTTGTTATTTCTACTTCAAGTTAACTGTCCTCCAAGGACTATGCTGCTTTATAGACGCAATTTCCTGGCCTGTGCATAGTGTAGGCTTCACTGACTTCGCTTGGTTGTACCTGCAAGCTAGTCCACGGATTCTCCAAATGACGGACACCGAGACCGTCAACGGCACGATCTGCCGGCACATAACTTCTCTATATCACCGCACTGTAGTGAGTGACATCACAGCTCTTGAGCAACTTCACTTTGCGTTATGCGATGTGACGTAATGGGATGGAAGTGAAGTGAAGTGAAGCCAATGCCAAGAGAGTATATAACGCGGAGTCTTACTGGGGTGCGGGCAATTCCTATTGTATAGTGCGGACAAGTTATATGCGCTTTTCGTTGAGGTTGCGCTCGAGCTTCTGTCGCGAAATTGCCCTTCGTCACAGCTTCTACCTCCCTAGCTTCTGACTACCACTTCCGAGTGCGAGGATAGATCTTCGATCTGTAGAGCCCAAAGAGAACTGTCAAGAGAATTCGGTCGTGAAGAGGTGACCGATCGAAGGAACCCATCACACGGAGGTGCGTATCTGGTGAAATATGGTTGAGCGACCTGTCCCTAGAAGAGGCCATGCCAATGTTCCACCCCAAACTGCCACCATGCTTATCTGGTACATATCAGAGGCCATGTGTTGCCTAGTTGAAGAGGTACGTACCTTACCAAGCTGAAACATGTTGTACTCTAGGGGCGGGAGTTCCGAGGCGAGTATTCGATCAATTGTCGGGAAATTCTCGTTCGCAGAAGACAAGGCCCGACGACCTTCTTTTTATTCGTGTAGAAGAACAGTGCTTACTATACCATCGTGTCCGTTGATCGCTATACCGCAAGAGGTCACAGTCTTGAGACTACTCATCTGCGTTACCGTGCGATAGGCACTGGTAGATCAACAGCTTTAGCTACCTCGCGACGGCAAAGGCCTCGTGTTTGCGACTATTCGCATTCGGCGGCGGCGAGGTTGCGCCGATCACTGACCAAATGATCAGCTGCCTTTTCAGCTGACGTGCCAGCTAGACACGACAGAGCCTCTGCTGTGTTGAGGTTCTCCTCAAGAATCCACCACCGAGTTGTATATATCATCGAGTAGTACACGCAGAGCCTGGCTGAGCATCTGGTCGTCCAGAGCCAACTCGAGACCCAACTTCTGAATTCCGACTATGCCAGCACTGGCCTGGCCAATGCGAGACGCTCACCGGATTGAAGACGAGCAGCGTCGCCTATACTCTGACAAAGAAGCGGATAGCGAAGATGCTTCATCTACTTGCGATGATTTGCAGCAGAGAAGGCGATCGACTTTCTTCCCTCCTTCTTGGTCGACCAAACCTATCCTCCTCTATGGACTCGTTCTCCTGCTCACGAACTTGATTTCCACGTATTCAGCCTACTCGTATGCAGAGAGAAATCTCCGACGAGAAGTCGATCAAGATTTCGTAGGCAGTATGTTCTCCAGCTCAGTGTTTCCTGCCCATTGCCGATTCTAATACGTTTCACAGCAGATAAAGTCTTCCCGGGACTCGATCGGACCCTCGCGCTCTCCACCTACAGCAACCATCGCGTAAATGCAACGAGTCGATGGACTGCTCCGCCGAGCAAAGAAGTCGACCATGCGTGGAACGAGCTCGGGGTCAAAGACATGGGCTTCCTTCTCCCAGGGGCCATAGGTCGCGAGTACGGGCTAGACCCACGCAAGCATGTCTATGCGCCGAAAGGGACTCTGTCCAACGATACGGATGGCTTCCCGGTGTTCATTCAGGCACTGCATGATGTACACTGTTTGGTGAGATGGTCCAGATCTGTACCGAGAGTATCGAGGTCATGCGCTAATGGACGGCCTGGTGATGCTTCTAGAACGAACTACGGAGAGCTCTGTATTACAACAAGGACTACTATCGTCAATTTCAGGACGACACTCTCACGTCCGAGTCGTTCCGCGTGAGCCATATCAGTGAGTGAAGCCTCGCAGCGTTCCTCCGTGATACCGTGTCAAGACGCTGATCCCCAGGTGATAGATCACTGTCTAGACAACGTCCGCGAGCGCCTGATGTGCAGCGCCGATGCTGGCATCATCCCATCAGTGTGGACCAGCAAGGATGAGAACTTTCCTTTATTTGGGAGTCAGCATAAGTGCCATAGCTACGATGCTTTGATGGAGTGGAACAGGAAGTGGCATGAGTCGGAAAGAGAGCGCACCATCGATTGGACGGTGCGGGTGTCGGCGCCGGAGGACGCCATATTTCACGATATCCACGATTTCCAGCTGTAAGGGCTGGTTTTCTTCGTTGCGAGTGACGGGATAGACCAGGAACCGTCCCGATGGCACTCACCTCTCCGTCATCATGTTCTCCCTTGAGTCTTACTGTCCCTCCTGTCCATTGCCCAACCTATGCCTCCCCGTTCTCCGGCTTTCTTCTCTGTCGCCGCGATTATGGCGGCCCCGTAGTAGCATACTGCGGAGCCATCAGTCCACCGATCAGTGACTCCAGGACACTCCATCGCGTGCTGGAGGCGTATTCGCCGCAGAGTAGTATAGGCTGGAAGTCGTCGTAGCTACTGTAGTAGGCCATCTGACTCGAGGCAATCGTGTGGAAACTGGCACCATTCTGGCGGTGATGATCGTTCAAAGGCTCTCCATCATGAAGCATTCATCGACTCTGCTGCGCGCCCGAGTGCGCATGCCGACAAAGAGGTGTTGTCAGGTGTCCTGTGGTGGGTGCGAACCTCCACAAACAGACACAACCTCTTTGAGAGCCCCTCACCATTAGTCAGCCAGCTTGACTCAGCATCCCCCACCTAGGTAGGTACAAACTCACTCACGCACTCACTCACGGCACGCACTCATTCTTTCACGACAATCCTCCCACACACTGCCCAGAATGTCTGACTCCGACCTCGAGGCGATCCGCCAGGCCCGCTTGCAACAACTCCAGTCCCAACAATCATCCGCGCCCAGCGGCGGCGGAGGAAACGCGTCACAAGAAGACCAACAAAAGTACCCCTCCCACTTCCACCCAATTTCATCTGAGCACCCAACTAATCTCGTACCCTTTTCTCTAATTCTAGAGCCGCTGCCGCCGAGCAAAAAGCCTCCATCCTCGGTCAAATCCTGGAACCCTTCGCCGCAGATCGGTTAGGACGAATCCGAATGGTGAATGCGCAACGAGCAGAGGATGTGGAGAACCGACTGATTATGCTTGCGCGGAGTGGACAGTTGAGACAGAGGGTTACGGAGGAGCAATTGAAAGATATCTTGGGCGCGGTCGCCAAGCAGACGGAAGAGAGAGGCGGAGATGCGGGTGTGGGCAAAGTGGTAGTGCAGAGAAGAAAGGGAGGCTGGGATGACGATGATTTGGATGACTTGTTGGGGGAGGATTGAGATGGCTAGGCTGGAGGAGGAAAGACGGCGCAGCGGACTCGTAGGAGGCATATGGGTCTTGAGAAAGGGCGTCGCGAAAGCTACATGGCGCACGATAGCAAGGCTCAAAGCAGCATCCATGAGCCCGGGAGCATGTCCATCCATCCATCCAGCCAGCCAGCCAGCCTATATAACTAGGCAAGGAGACGCGAGACACGAGAGCACGATTCCTGCACAGCCGGAAAGGTTCTATTCCGATCAGCGTCAACGAAAGCCCTTTCTACTCTTGATCAAGCCACGCATCCAACGCCTCCGCAATTTGCATCCACCTGAACCTCAACCAAGACACTGCTCCTGCCTCGCTGCTACCCTCAACAATATCCATCTCCAGCTTCTCAAGTTCCTCGAGCTTCCTTTCGACCTGGCTACGATACCCTTGCAGTCTCGGCCTCAACCACGCCGCTACTTTCGCAGAATGATCCGAGGTCATGTCCTCCCCATTCAACATGAAGTATTCCCATTCATTCGCAGTGAGTAGCTCGGCTCGGATCGCGACTTGAGTTTTGAAACAGAGTTCCGCCTGTTGTCGCTGTGCGGAAGGCGGCAAGAGGGCGTAGGATCCTAGCATTCCAACATCTTGGAGTTGAGATTTTGTGTTGGCGCTCATAGCTGGAAGAAGGATGTGGTCGAGACGGATGTCGTCATCTGATGGCTCGTTGGGCTTGTATGAAAGGCAGAAGCCGTAGTGGACGAGTAACTTGTCGTTCGGATGGGATCCATACGTTGCAAGGATTTCCGTATTGGGTTCTGGTGCATCACGGAGTCAGTAACACACCACTACGCGTGGGAAGGGCAGTGCAGTTTGTATCTCACCTATGCAAGGTAGCAATGAAAGCCCGAAGGCAAACCTGAGATGAACCCCAAAGAGCGATGATGCAAAGACGTGATAGGAAAGGGGGAAGGCGAATACATACCATAGTCCCTATCCGCCACAACCTCATATCCTTTCGGCGACTGACTCACCTTCACGCCCGTCCCCGTGGGTCCATGGTTCATGTAATCGATAAAAGGACAGAGAACCATAAAGCCTGGTTTGAGTCCAGGTGGTTTGAAGTGGAAACATCGACTATTCACAATCGCCCAATAATACTTGAAGTCTTCCTCCTTCCAAGTTTGATCATCACAATTCAGACTCAACATGTACGTAAGATCTTTCTCGTAGTCCTCACGCATTCTCTCCAGAGGCTGTTTCACAGACTCGGGCAGGTGATGGCATAACTCAGGGGACCAGAACAGAGGCATACCCGATTCGAAGTCTGAGAGGGTTGGCCATGTTTTCTTCCAGGTTAGGTAGGGGGAAGAAGGGGAGAGGCATTCGGACATGATGCTTATTGCTAGATGTGCTTGAGGGGAGGGAGAAGGCGAAGGCGAAGGCGAAGGTTTTTTCGTGTGCGATTCGGCGGTTTTGGGCGTGAACATTGCGTTTTTCGGAACGAATATGATCTGGTCATCTTTTGAGATCTTGGCGGTTGTGAGGAGGCCAACACCCCGGCCGGGGATAATTGCAGGTTTGATCGAGGTGAACTGGACACCGCGGGCTTGGGACCATTGGGTGAAGAGGGAGTGCTTGTCTTCTTCGGGCTGGCTAGGAGCTGTTTCTTGCGTGGTCGAAATTCGACGACGCTTTTTGGCCGGAGGCATGGTAGTTAAAACCCTCAATTGGCTACCGCGTAAGGTAATATCAGAGGAGGATGTCACTGAAGTGGTGTTCTTGATACATCATCACACTGTGACAGGCAGCTGAAGTCTACGGGTGATTCTCGGCCGAGACGAGGACGACGACCAGAATACTTTCTGCATCTTCAGGTTCCCACATCCACAACGACAACAACCACCGCCACCTCCTCCTCTAAAGCCCACCGCCTGCGTGATGGAGTCGATTCAGCCTCAAATTGAGGACCTCACCACGAACATCGACGAACTCGAAAGCGCACTCCTTCCCATCATAAAAACCGCTCTCAGCTCCACCACGTCCAAACTTCCTCTCCTCGACAAGGCGAAACTCTACGTCCTCGCCACCTATGCCATCGAGTCGATCCTTTTCTCCTACCTTCGCCTGCATGGCGTTGATGCCAAAGCGCATCCAGTCTTTCAGGAACTCACGCGCGTCAAGGAGTACTTCAATAAGATCAAGACGGCCGAGACAGCAGGCGTAGGGAGCAAGAACAAGCTGGACACGAGTGCTGCGGGAAGATTCATCAAGCATGGATTGAGCGGGAATGAGAAGTATGATGCCGAGAGAAAGGAGAGGCAGGAGAGGGAGAAGGCGGGCGCGAAGCGGAAGTTGGAGAGTATGAGTACGGGCACGCACACCAGGTTCGATGGCGCCGCCAAGAGGATTAAGGCGGCGGAGGAGGGGGGAGAAACGATTGTCGTTGTCAAGGCGAGTGAGGTAGATGACGAGAGCCCTGAGAAAGAAAGCACACCAAAAACCAAGAAGTCGAAGAAAGCAAAGCGGAAGTCGAACTCGAAGAGTAGTAAGTCTACTGATGATGCACTGTCTGGCGAGGCTAATCACGGGCAACAGGTTAAGCCGCTGCTCGCTACTACCATCGCGGAATAAGAGGGGCACCCAGAAGATTATGTGGACGCACGAAGAAAGCTGGGCGTGCTCGATCAGTCTCATGACTCCTGACATTTGATGATCACGAAACCTCTGGTATCTTTTAAACAACAAAGGGGAGCAACGAACAGGCACTTCATGCCATGCAGCTTCCGAATGGACCACGACGGAGTGATACCGGAGACGAAACCAACTCCCAATGCGACAGAGCACTTGGATGGAGATACTGCTCTGCCTGACGAGGTCGACAAATATGGTGAGCTGATTTCCACTACCTCAACGCATCAACCACATCATCAAACGTCTGACTACCGCCTCGTGAAGATTCATGCAGATGTTGCACCTCTCTCTTGCGGGTGCTTGAAGCATCGATTGGCTGCGTGAGCTCGATGCGCATGCGAAGGTCAGACTGTCAAAGCAGGGGCCTCCTGTGGTAGGCCTGTTGAGACTCAATCTGTTCCGCAGTTGTCCTCGCGGAGCCTCTTTCTACACTGCTAAGTAGATGCACGACCTAGGTCTAGATATAGCAAGGCAGCGGTAGTGGATCTGAGGCTGTCGTAAGTCGAGCAACACTGTCTGGAGGCAGCACGACCGGCGATATGTCAGTCGAAATGGAACAATATTTGAGATTGGCAGCCCTATCGTGGCATCCTCGCGAGCTCAACCAACTGTGGGATTGAAGGCCAGGCCGAGCGCATATTGATCAGTCGTCTCCCACCCTAATAGAAAGCCCGACGGAGCCGCAGTGGTTCTTCGGCCACCGGCATGATCTGGTTTCCCTACGCCTGCCGCTGCTCCACCTGTCCTTCTCAGAATCTTCCCCTTGAGTCTCCTCGCCGTGATCCTTTTCCGGGGAGTATACCTTGTACACTTTATGGCCAGACTTCTCAATTCCTGGGAGTAGGCTAGCTTCTCTGCAGCAGTGAAGATTTCACCCAGGTCTTCATATCCCTTGTCCCATTTCGGCCCATCAGCGCCTGTGGTTTTCTTCATCAGACATTGAATAAGCCGTCCCACGCCATACACGTTGGTCCAGCCCTGGAGTCTACTGAGGAGTTGCTTTTCCTGCGTTTTCCTGCTAATGAAGTGAACTTGTTCCGGGGCCATGTATCCTCGTGTCCCCATGTCGTCGGCGTAGTGACTCGGATTCATCATGTCGTTTTCCTGTGTCAGCACGCACATGCCGAAATCGCCCAGCACGGGTCGGGGAAAGGATGGCCAGACTGGCCCGCACGTGTCGAACCATATATTCTCCAGCTTAATGTCTTTGTGCACAATCTGGTGCCAGTCCGCGGGAGGCGTGGCCGTCGATAGGGTTGTGCCGTTCTCCATGAGGAGACATGCTTCTGTCATGGCTTCGAACACGGACCAGATGAACGGCTCGGGTATATTGCTCTGTGCGTTCGCAGGCAGTTGATACTCCTTGACCATCGCATTGAGTGATCCGTGAGCATAATACGGCATGATGATTCGATATGCCATTCGGGCGTCATCCACGGAAGAGGCATTGTATCCGACCACACGATCCGATCCTGGTCTGCCTCGCATCACTCTCATGGCGTAGATTTCGACGGGCGTCCTGTTTGCTGCATCTCGAGGGTCGCCATGCCAGCATTTTACGGAGCCCCAGCGATCTGGATCACTGACCCACGAATCTAGAATAATGTATTATTAGTGCACGGCCTCGAACCACCTCTCTCGTAAGGGGTCACGACAAGAAAACGTACTTTTGATTACGACTCGTGCGGTGATGTTGTCTGCGCCGTTCGTCGTGACCCATAAGTGTGCTGTCCCAAATGTGCCGGAGCCAATCTCACCGCAGTAGTGCCAGGTCAGGCTGTCGTCGCCGGCTGGTGAGTCGTTCACGCCGAACTTTTTACGAGCGTCTTCTCGTGCAGTCTTCGCTTTATACCCCTTACGACTTGTACTAATCTCAGCGGCACTCCCGACCACGCCCGTCTCCAGATTGTCTTCACTGACATCAGCGGGGGCACCACCAGCGGCGGCGGGGGCAACACCAGCGGCGGTGGGGGCAACACCAGCGGCGGTGGGGGCAACGACCAGCGGCGGGGGCAACACCAGCAGCGGCGGGGGCAACGACCAGCGGCGGCGGGGGCGACACCAGCGGCGGCGGGGGCAACACCAGCGGCGGCAGAGCAACAAGGGGACGACTACGACGCGAGCTCGGGCGACAGCGCCGGTGTTGCCCCCGCCGCCGCTGGTGTTGCCCCCGCCGCCGCTAGTGTTGGCCCCACCGCTGGTGTTGCCCCCGCCGCTGTCGCTGCCGGTGCCGCTGCCGGTCCTGTGGTCGCTGCCGGTGCTCCTGTCACTGGGGCCCCTGGCAGAGGTATATCCCCGATGGCCGTTCCCCCTGCGAGAAGACGCCTTATTCTAATCGGCTCATCGATCTTCTCTTGTTTCGTTAGTAAATGCCAAGTTGCTTCCAAAGCCACTTCGGTCAACGGCGAACCAGCGTCCTTGGCGATTTTACGTCTATGCTTCTTGACCAGCTGCTTATCTGTTATGCGCTTTGGGGCCATGGTGTCGAGGCTCAGGTGTAACTGGCAGAGTGTGGTCGGAGAAGACTGTGTATTTTTTATCGTAGCCGGAGGTATTGTTGCAGAGGACTTTGTTTTCTTTGTTGAGTCTTCGTCCTGACCCGGTCGCCGGATTTGGACACATGTTTTCATTATCCTCCTATACTACCTACCGTTTGCTAATGCCATTACTACGAGACCGAGCATACACCGCTATATCGACTTTCTACACTTGACTGGATCGCAGCCATCAGCAGCTGTCACATCGAGTACATAGTACACCGATGACGGTCGTCCTATCCAGCGTAAAACATGATATTCTTCCTCGGAGCGCATAGTATACCACCTAATGCATATGCCTGCTCTGGTGAATCGTGTGAAGTACCTTCAGAACCTCTATAGCACAAGCTTGCTGCGCAGCCTTTTTGCCGTAGACGTGATGAGTCATGCCAATCTGGCCCTCGAGACGACCGTCCTTACGCACGTCCCTCTCGATGAATTGCGCATAAGAGTTATAGAATGCATCAGTCCCTGGGATTTTTATGTGTTTGTAGGCAGGCTGCGTGAAGCCTAGCTCGATGGCAAGGACGTGGACCTGCTCACTGGGGGAGCCATGATTGGCATTGAGGTCCATCGATCGCAGAGCCTGCGTTGCTCCAGTCTCGGACATGAAACCTGTGGCAGCCAGAGATCCTGTAGAGGACTTCCGTCGCTTGTCGGGTGCCGGCGCCATCCTGGTTACAGACCGTAGCCATTGAGCTGCTTCCATTGCGGCTGCCTTCTTGGCATACATCTTTGTCGTGTATGGCTTGTCATGACCCCCAAACGTGGATTGAAAACCTGGCACGCGCAAGACGCATGTCCACGGGCCGGTATTGCCTTCTGTCGGCTGATACTCAAAGTCCGGAGCTGGTAGTTGATTTTTATGAGTGTATTCTGGGACATGTCAGTGCGCACACATCTTGTCTCCACGACGTGTGGTGCGTTACCATATATCAGGTTCACCCATAGTTCTTCGTCAAGCCCGGCCGGAGCTGACAGACAATGAGCAGTGTCGTTGGCCTTGCGCTTCTTGAAATTTGGCATGGCCTCGACGGTTGCCAAATGCTTCTTGCAGATCTCCTCTTTCGCATCTTTCTTAGAAGCATATTGACCTATACGGTCTACATATTCGCCACCAAGTCTGAGCTCGACATCAAAACAGCCCTGAGCGACAGTGTGGAACACAAAGTCGCACAGGACGCCACGCGCATCGCAGGCCATATGGAACTCGGCAGTATGTTGTCCATTCTTCGAAGTGGTACGAAGAGGATTGGCGGTACGCCGTGGCAGCGGTGGAGTGTAGGGATTTTCCAGCTCGAATTGTTCCAGAGTCATGAGATCCATGGGCTTGTCATCGAGAGAGCCGAAATCGTAACCTGGCGTCACATTCTCCATGTCAATATCTGCAGCCGCCTGGGAGGCCAGCGCGTACGTCCTTTCCGAGGTCAAGATTTGCCTTTGACTTCCGAAGAGGAGGTAGCTGTAGCCAGAGGACTTGTCTGATTGAGGCGCCGCGCCTGGGTTCGTCCGTTGCTGAGGAAGTGGACCAGTCTGATCTCTGCTAATGAAACCCAGCGTCTACTCGCAAGCGAGGAATGAAGCATACAGGTATGATCAGATAGGTAATGTTACAGAAGTAGAGTGAAGCTGAAGTGAATAGAGCTCAAGGTTGATATCTGGAAGGCCTAAGGCATCTGATTCCCTCAACAGATGCCTTAGGCTCAAATTCTGCCGGAGTTTCGGAACACTTCTCCGGATCCTCATGAAAGGATTGCGGCGAAGCGGTTGTATCCGCTCACATGCCGAGGCAGACCACATCCATGTGAGCATCCGCTGAACGCGCCCGGAGCGAAACATATGAGTTCCACTGTTCCAAGTTGCTGCTGGTCGTGATATCTCACCCAACATTCACCGTCACGGCGCAATCATGTCAGACCACATCCGCGATGGCGGCCAGTCCATCTCGGGAGATCCCACGCGCACCTTCAACTACCCGTGGGCAGCGGCACCAGATATCATTCGATCCAACCAGAAAGATGCCTACTTCCAGTCCGTCCTCCTGACCCAACTCTCGGCCGTTATCAGGTCTCTTTATGGCACACGATCAGAACACAAATGGGCCAGTGAAGCATCGCTATTCACCGAACTCCTCTACCTCGGCCTCACCACCTTCATCGGCAACCGGACGCTGGGAGAAGAATACTGCGATATCGTCCAGGTCGAAGATGACACCCATCGCCTTCCTTCTATCGCAAGGCGTAGCGGCTACATCCTCTCGAGCGTCCTCCTTCCCTACACGCTCACACGCTTCCTCCCCGCCTTTCGCAAACGCTTACGGGCGAAATTGGAAAAGAGGCTCAAACGGGCCCATCATCGTCGAGTGTCAGACTCGGCACAGATCAAGAACCCGCCCAAGAAAGTCAGCCAGTTCCAAGAATACATTCTCAAACATCTCGACTCCATTACCTCTCCAGCTCCCGTTTACGCAGTCAGCCTGGCCGTGTTCTACTTCTCGGGAGCCTACTACCAGCTCTCCAAACGTATCTTCGGTCTCCGATACGTCTTCACTCGAAAGCTCACCGAGGGAGATCAACGAGCAGGTTACGAAGTCCTGGGAGTGCTCCTCGTCGTGCAAATGGTCGTGCAAGGCTATCTACACATGAAGACCACCTACTCCAATGTCCAAGCCCAAAATCTCGTCCCGCCACCTCCCACATCAAGCGGTTTGCAAGCCGGTGGCACAGCAGTGGTAGACGAGGACGTGGAAGCGGGAGCTGAGAATCCTTTCAACACACCTTTACTCTTCGAGTCCCACCCGTCCGGAAATAGCCCCGAGGATATCGCGAGAAGGGTGGCGCAGACCACCCATACGCCGATAATCCAGGGCCATCGATACGACTTGAAAGATGACGAGACGATGCAATGGATTGGAGATCAGGCTCGGAAATGCACCTTGTGTTTGGAACCGATGAAGGACCCCAGTGTGACGACGTGCGGCCACGTGTTTTGTTGGAGTTGTGTGACAGATTGGTTGAGAGAGCAGCCCATGTGCCCGCTTTGTAGACAGGGCGCTTTGGTACAGCATGTCCTGCCCTTGAGACGGTAGTGGAGAAAGATCAGATTTCTAGAATAATTAATAAGCCAGCGCTGCCATGATCCCTGGCGGCTACCATGTGGAGATGACTATCTTCTGGGAATATGGAGAGCCTCTCGTGTTCCGCGATCATATGCGGTGCGGAATCGAATCTCCGGCAGCACATTCGCAGCCACAGAACCTCCACCGCTAAGCATGTGTGCCATGTTCGACGGAGTGTTGACACTACGTGCAATCTCGGTCGCGATGCTGGATGTACGCGGCGTGCCGAATCCCGGTGGTGTCTGCTGAAGGGGCAGGTGGGAGCAGCGTCCTCTTTAGTGCGAGCGTGATGCCCAGAAGTGAGCGTGGTTGTGAGCTTACAATGAAGCAATTGACAAAGTCTGAACTAACGAAGACTCCTGCTAGATACTTTTGGTCTGTGATGGCTGACACATCGTCCATCTATTTGGCAGACTGTCTTCCTGCATCATGCTCTCCTGTTTTGCGATCAGCGCGCGTGCGACGCTTGGCGCGCATCGCGTGTAGACAAACTTAGCGAAAGGCGATCCAAGCCAGACTTTTGGCTTGAAGTGTGCGAGTGTCATCTTTCTCGCTCAGCTCCCATCAAGCATCGAACTTCTCACGCAGGGTCTTGAGTCTACTCAAGTAGGGATCCCTGTCAATGTAGCCACCCTTGAGCCATCTCTGCCTTCCAATATCCCCAATGTTAAAGGCTCTTCTCGCGTGCAGGACTCTTCTGTTGTCAAAAATGACGCATTCCCCAGGCTTCATCAGCCTCTCATGAATATGGTCTTCTCGATGGATCAAGTTGTTAAACTCCGATGCGGCCTGATGCCAGCGCGACACCTGGAAGTTATATGCTCTGCTCATCAAAACGGCGTCTTGCATGGGTTGGCCAGTTCTTGAATCGACCGTTAAGCGGAATGGACCTTGAAATGGAGGAGACCAAGCTACCGACGAAACGAAATCCATGACGTCCAAGTCTTGCAACTCTTCAACGGGTGAACGCCCTGGTACGGCTTTTTGCTGAATGACTGTCCTCTTTTGGTGGTAATAGTTCTCGCCCGGATGATCATAGTGATAGGACACCGGCTGTCTGGCGAGCGTGCGGAAGGCACCTGGATTCATCTGTGCAATGTCTTTCACCGCTTTGAAGCTGTCTGAAAATAGGCTTGCCCCTCCCGAGGAAGATGATTGTATGCAGTGTAGCAGCTGCAAATGGGGAGGCTGTTCCATATACATGAGATCCATGTGGAAGCCGAGATTCTGAGAAGTATACGCAACGTTCTTCGCATCTGGCACCGCTCGAACGTCCCATGTCTTGCCATAGAATGTTGTTTTTAAGGGACCGATGCGCTCGGCAAGGCGATTCACAGACTCCTCGTCCTCGGGGACGTTGCGCACGAAGAGCAGACCGTGAGTGTGAAGCTGTTTCACAGCATGCAGCAACACTTTGTCGTCAGCCATATATTCAGCATATTCAAAGTCATTCGTCTCCTGGGCGTATGTGGCGGCATTCCAGAAGGATCGTGGCAGCTGAGGCCGCTCCACCTCAGGGCTCCCGGTGATGACGACCCTGCTGAGTGCATCAAGCGCGATCTTCGTGACGTGACTCTCGTCATATCCTGGCACGTCGTTGGCCCAGGTGATTGACAAACCCTCCGCGTCTGCCTCCACACTCCGAGCCTCAATGTTGGCGGGAATGTCAGGTGTGTAGAATTGCTTCTGCCTCGTCGACACGTCAATGCACTGCGGGCAAGAGCACAGGTCGCGGAGGACTAGAGGAGCGAAAGAGTGCGTCTGGCCAGCAATATCGATTGGTATCCAACGCGGGTCGGGGTCTCGCAGGTCACTCGCGTGTCGTGTGCTTCGGAGCGGAACAGACGGCGTCTCTGCGTGAGGTTTGTGTGCGGGTCGACGAGGTCGCGATGTCCAGAGATGGCGGGCGGGAGCAACAGTCTGCGCAATGCTGCGAAGCCAGAGCGGTTGTGGATTGCGCACGACCAGGCGACGCCATGACAATGCCAAAGCCATCGGGGTGATAGGTAGGTAAAGTAAGAGTAAGGTACCTACTGTACCTACCGTATACAGTACAAAGGCTCGGGGATTACGGAGCTGGAAACATCATAGCTGGATGGAGGGGGCAAGAACAAGCGAGCAAGGCAACCAGAAGCGACAAATGAAGCTTTTCCTTCCCGAGCTTCCACCTTCGCCTACCCCCTACAATACCTCCTACCTTACCTGACCTACCTATTTAAATACAAGGTACCTAGGTAGAGTCGCATTCCACCCACAATGCATCTAGGTCACAACACTTAGATGTCGACGGCTCCAGAGCAGCTGCGCAATGAGGTACTATCTACGATCCCGCCGGCCTCGGGTGCTACATCCCAAGCGCTGCCACGATACTTACCACGACGCGTGATCTTTTGCTCACATCGTGCAGGGCACGCGAATACAGGTGGTCCTCGCTGGCGCCGTATCCGGCTTGATCTCCCGCTTCTGCATTGCCCCTCTGGATGTGGTGAAGATCCGCTTGCAACTGCACTATCACTCCCTCGCCGATCCTCTGGCCCGGCCCATTCGTGCTGCATCGCCAACTGGAGTCGCCAGCGTCGTGCGCGACATCTGGCGCCACGAAGGTCTCACCGGATTCTGGAGAGGAAACATTCCCGCCGAAGGACTGTACCTGAGCTATGGTGCAGTACAGTTCTTGGCCTACCGAAGCACCGCCCAGGCCTTGAATGAGTTAGCTGAGCACGGAGGCGTGGCGCTCCCCGGAACTGCAACGAGCTTCATCAGTGGTGCCGTGGCGGGCACTGCAGCTACCACAGCTACATATCCTCTCGACCTGCTCCGGACTCGCTTCGCCGCGCAAGGAACGGAAAGAATCTATGATGGATTGATCGGAAGTGTTCGCGACATCGCGCGGCGCGAGGGATTTGTCGGATTCTTCAGAGGCCTGAATGCAGGCATTGGGCAAGTTGTTCCCTACATGGGACTCTTCTTCTCTCTCTATGAAGTTCTGAAGCCCCCGTTTGCGGCCATACAGCTGCCTTTTGGATCTGGAGACGCGCTTGCTGGCGTGACGGCTAGCATCCTCAGCAAAATTGCAGTCTTTCCACTAGACACTGTGAGGAAGCGGTTGCAGGTGCAAGGCCCCAGCCGCAGTAGGTATGTTGGTGGCAGAGTACCAGTCTACGACAACGGTGTTCTCAGTACACTCCGGATGATCATGGTGAAAGAGGGCACAGTCGGCCTGTACAGAGGGCTGACGGTGAGCTTGGTCAAAGCTGCACCGTCCAGTGCAGTCACTATGTGGGCTTATGAGAGGGCGTTGCATCTGATGATGACTGTCAAACAGGAGAGAGATTCATGAGCAAGAGACCCTCCTGTACTCAATATCCGTGACAAAGTATATAACTACCTCCTACTCCCTAACATTGGTTTTGGTTTGCCTCTCGACTCCAGCAGCTAGTTGTCTTTGATCTTCCAGACTGGACTACATTCAGCAGAGCCCAATCGATTCACAGCCCGCAGGGAGTCCATGATCGATGAGCATATAGGACCAACGGAATTTTCTCTCTGACGGTGATCGGGTCTGTTGATAAAATTTGATTGTTCTGGCTTGTAGAAGCCTACTATATCTCCTAGGAGGTAGAATGTAGGACGATACCAAGGTAGACGTTGCCTCCTAGCTTGGCCTGGGAGCGGGCTGGGCTCCCACCTGCGGGCCGGGCCACTGTATGGCCCAGTGGCCCCAGTGCGGCCGTCTCGGGGGTGCATGGGTCTCACTCAGTCAAGCCAGTCAGTCCGTCGGCCCACCACAGACATCATCGACGACATCACCTTTCCGACCCCCAGCGCAGAAATCTTCAACAGCACATCACGACACACCAATTCCTCGTATCGACGTCACCCACAATGCCACCCAAAGGACAGCAACGCGGCACAGCTCTCGGCGGCCCACGTCAGCCTCCAAGGGGAGGTTTTGCGCGCGAGACATACAAATGGTTTACCAGCTCAGAGAACAGGAGTGTGGTCACATCACTGGCTTTCTTTGCGGTACGAAGTAGCGTTTGCTCGGAATCCGCATAACAGAGACTGACGAAGTGGATAGGGCGGTGTTGCATTCCTGAGCAGTAGCTGGGCAGAGGTTCTGCTGCCCCCGTAAGATCTGTCGTATCTCTGCGCGCCAGAGCACTACTGACAAGGACATAGGATCTAAGCGCAAAAGTACGACTGAGTGGAAGAAGGATATACTGGAGCTTGTATTGAATATGGAGAATGGGACTGTAAGATAGAGGCGCGCACATGCTCCGCAGACGATGCACGGCAGAATGCGCAATCGAGGGCCGCGTCTTCTCAACGCTGCTCGAGGATGCAGAGCACACGGCCAGATATCCTTGCGCGCATGGGAGAACCACCAAAATGAGATACTCCGCTACAGACACGCAAGATCTGGAACAGATCCAACACGCTACCCACACATACATCTGCTACTTCTTCATCGCCTCAATCCCAGCGGCCAAGTTCAGTATCCTCTCTTCACTTAACGGTATTCCCAAGATCTCTAGACCAACAGGCAGTTCTGGATCATCAGGATACTCAACATCCTTGGCCATTCCAACGGGCACTGAGATGGCGGTCCAGAGCAGTTGACTCCCTATTACTGTATTTGTCGGATAATCCAGGCTCAAATGCCTTTTCAATCGACATATCAGTATATCGCATCATCTCTGCGAAAAATGCCACACTCACCTCATCTCTACCACATCCTTTGTCTTCGGCGCCAATGCTTGACAAGTCGGATATATCATCGCGTCCAAATCAAATTTCGCAAATAGACTGGCCACAGTCCTCTGGAACTGCTGAATAGCGGTCATTGCCTTGCTGAAATGCGGACTCTGCATCATATCGGTAGGTCCTTTGGAGATGCCACCGAGTAAGTCCAGAGAATGGTGATACTCTCCCTTCTCCACCAAGTCTTCAATGTTCAAATGCTTGAGACCTTCTCTCGATGAGAGGAAATTGTTGATGTCAGTTCTTGATCGCAGGATATAGACGCTCGTTTTCTGGATGAAATCCTTCAGTCCCGGTATCTCAACATCGATGAGTTCCGCGCCAGAAGACTTCAACTCTCCCAAAGTTCGATCGAGGACCGAATTGATACCTTGATGGCCCCCGAAAACTTGCCTCAGGACCCCGAGACGTTTCCCAGCAATAACGGGCTCTCTGACTGCGTCCACGAACGTAGTCGGTGTTTGCTTGCTCGCCAACGCATTAATCGACGTATATTCATCCCTCTCATCATACCCCACCACAACATCCAGAATCCTCGCTGCATCCTCGACACATTTCGCCATCGGTCCTGGCGTATCTTGCGTCAACACCAACGAGGACATACCATCTCTACTGATTCGTCCCGGAGTGACACGCACACCCACCAGACCGCAGAAACTCGAAGGTAATCTGATACTTCCGCCGGTATCACCGCCGATAGCAGCGAGCGCCATGCCTGCAGCAACGGCGGTACCGCTCCCACTCGAAGAGCCTCCGGGATCTCTAGAGGGATCCATTGGGTGTTGGGTGGTTCCCGTCAGCGACGATGTGGAAAACCACGCAGCAGCCCAATCTGGCATGGCCGTCTTGGCCAGAATCACGGCGCCAGCTTCTCGGAGTTTGCGCACCAGTGTCGCATCCTGTGTGGGGATGTAATCTTTACAGGCCTTGCTGCCATAGGCGGTCGCGATGCCGGCTGTTTCAATTTGGTCTTTGATCACGATGGGAAGACCATAGAGAGGGCCACGTTGGTGTTGTGGAAGTTCCTAAGGTACTTTAGTTAGAAAATCAGGCTCTCTATATCTCGATAGGTATCCACGAAGTTGTTGTTGATGGTTGTCCGGACCCCGCCGATCGAACACGGCCTGCTACAATACTTGTCAAGCTTACATCTAGCTTTGCAGCTTCTTCTACCGCCTTGGGGTTCACAGCAGTGATGGCATTGAGACTCTGGAGACTCTCGATAGCGGCAAGATACTGCTCTGTGACTGCTGCCACGGTAGTCGTTCCTCCATGATATGCCTCTTGAAGCTCTGTGAGAGATCGATACTGAGGTGGGAGGCTGCCGGCCATAGTGGAGTTACGGTAAAGTGCAATAATGAGATAGCGATGTCATTACCTGAGATGTCCTACGAATGTGCAGTCTTTATATACCGCATGCAGTTCTCGAAGTGTCGCCATCGGCATAGGCGTGTGCTGCTGGTCAACTGGCCGGTGGCCCGCCGGTGGGCAGGCCGCAGACTGCAGTAGCCTGTAGGAGTGGAGTATTTAGGTGCAATACGGGCAATCTCCATATTCGGTTAGATCATCAGATGGTGGGTAGTCCCGTACTCCCGTTCCGCTGGCGTCTCTCGATGAAATTAGATGCGATGCTGTATAGACTTCACTCGCACTTGGAACAGGAGAAAGAAGAGAAAGAAAAAAAAAAAGAAAGGAAAGGCTCCCTGGCGATGACAGTCTGGCGATCAGCATCATGCGCTGTCAGAAGACTTGAGGCCGCGTGTCGCTGCCCGCGCCGCCCTTTCACGACCTCATCTTCATATGCTTCATATGATCCACAAAGACGGGACGCCATCGTAGACCTGCTCAATTATGACAGTGACCATCCGGATGCGGTCGACAAGATCGAACAAGATGTCCGCGTCAGTGGCTGGGTGCGATCGGTGAGGAAACAGAAGCAAGTAGCGTTTGCTCATATTGGCGATGGAACGACGGCACGACCTCTCCAGGCCGTTCTGAAGCCGGAGCAGGCAGCAAAGTGAGTGTATGCATGCGGCGATGGTGAGGCGACTCAATTACTAAGAATGTGCCAGCTTATCCTATGGTACGGCGGTGACGCTCAACGGGGCATGGACACCGTCCCAAGGGAAAGGGCAAAATCGAGAACTGCAAGTGACCAGCGTCGAAGTGCGGGGAGAGAACCATGCCGATAGCAATCCTGTCCAGCCCAAGTACCAGACACCAGAGTTTTTGCGAACAGTGCCACATCTACGCCCACGAATCCCCTCCAATGCTCTGCTTCTGCGACTGCGTTCGCACCTCATCAGTACTTTCACGAAGTGGTTCGATGGTCTCGATTTTGTACAGACCCACACGCCCATCATTACCTCCTCCGACTGTGAAGGTGCCGGGGAGGTCTTTACGGTTTCGTCAAACGATTCGAAGCGGTCCGGCCAGAAGACGCCGCCACAGCCACAGCATGCATCCCAGGTCGAGCACTTCTTTCGAAGCCCCAAATATCTGACGGTATCAGCACAACTACATCTTGAGGCACTTGCCCAGGCTGTCGATCGTGTGTGGACACTCTCGCCCACTTTTCGAGCGGAAAAGAGCGATACACCCCGACATTTGAGCGAGTTTTACATGCTCGAAGCGGAAGTCTGCTTTGCGACCGACATGAAGCAGATCATGGATCTGCTCGAGGTTATGTTACGAAATGTGACAGGCTATATTTCCGTCTCTCGGGTAGGCCAGGAGTTGATGGAGGCGAGAAAGTCGCCAAAAGACCCACAACGCGAAGGAGATTATGCTGTGTCCGCCACGACGCTAGATAAACGATGGCTACGCTTGATGAGAGCCAACTGGCCGCGCGTGACCTACCACTACGCCATCAAAAGACTTCAAGCCGCCGTGGCAGACAAACAAGTCAAGTTCGCCTTTAAACCCACGATCGAAGGCGGCCTGCAAGCGGAACACGAGCGCTGGATTGCAACTACACTCGGCAATGGCGCACCAGTATTCGTCACAGACTACCCCCGCTCCCAGAAACCCTTTTACATGTCGCCTTCGACCTCTACAGCCAACAGCAAAGGCACGAATGACACTGTCGCCTGCTTCGATCTCCTGGTGCCGGATCTCGGTGAGCTGGCCGGGGGCTCCATGCGTGAGTATCGCTCGCAAGAACTTGTCAACGCCATGAAGGCCAAAGGTCTCGCGGGGACTGGTAGCTTGGAGTGGTACCAAGACCTTCGCAAATATGGCAGTGTGCCGCACGGAGGCTTCGGTCTGGGTTTTGACCGTTTGCTGTGCTATCTCAGTGGCATCAATAGCGTGCGCGACGTTGTAGCATTTCCGAGGTGGCATGGAAGATGCGATTGCTAAAGATACATGTATCAGTCGGTCTGTAGCGCTTTGTACAATATCGGCAAACGAATTTCCGTCTGTCCGTCCATCCGTTCGTTCAGTGATACTGTTGACAATACGATGTGTAATTTTTGCAATTCTTGATTTTGCTCAATGTACATCGTCTATTGTAGCTGGCAAACTGGCCCCAATCGCACATGCAGTTTGTGCAGTCACGTCTGATGACATTCTCAGAGAGGCGGCGTCGTCGTCGAGCCAATCACCAGCTGTGGTCGTTTCATGTTGCTATGTAATTATTGGGAACTAAAGGACATCCTCTCTCCACTCCTCAGAAGACCAGCTATCCATCAGAGTTTCGAGATGATCGCACACAATGTAGACCAAGCTTCGTCGTATCTGTTTCCACCGAACATCTCTAGCTCGGCCAGAATCGACATGACCGCCAGTCGTTCTCCCCCAAGTATGATAGCATGCAGAGGAGCCAGTTGAGGATTGGCGGGCACTAGTGCCAACTGTTAGGCGATATCACCATACGATGTCTTGAACTGCGGAGATTGAGGCATACTGGTTCTCCCGTATTCAGATGAGAACCAATGCACTCATGAGATCCATCCTCGGAGTTTCTGGTAAGAGCAGGGGTAGGCATTGCTCTTCTGGCATAGGGCATCTCAACATGTGCTTCGGTAGCTTTTCAGGACTGTGTTGTTAGTCAGCACTTTCCTCCCCACACTCCTGGGGAAGAAGACTGATTTAGAAGCAATGTTGCACCATTCTGGTCAGTCGTCGAGGCCACCATCCTCGTCTTCATCTTCTCCGAGAAACGCACTTGTCGGCACCGGCCAACACGAGCAAGACGCTTTTTTTCTCCTTCTCACAAGTCCCCACTCTCAGTCTGAGCCCCACCCCGAATTCGAGCCGACTCATCCTGCCTCATCTCTGGAGACCGCCACACATTAGTAACATCCCCAAGTATCACTCCCTCGTCAGAAGAAGCCTCATCGGAAGAAGCCTCGTTAGCGGAAGCGGCAGCAATAGTAGCGGCGCCGTTTGCTTCTCCCTCAACTTCGTCAAAAACAGGATGATCGTACTACATCTCATCCTCTTCCTTTCCCCCAGCATTTCCAGCACGAATTTGAGATTCCAAGGCATCCAGACGTTTGGACATGTCGTCCAGCTTTCCGAGCATTTCGGTGCTGACTTGGCTGAACTTGGAATTGAGTTGGACAAGGAGGTCGTCGACGACAGCAACTAGTTCCGAAGGCTTGGTCTCTGTTGTTCTTGTGGTGGGTGAAGATGATGTTGTTGGTCGTGTTGACGTGGGTGGGTCCGACTGGAGGTGGACGAGTCAGAAGGGTAAGATGGAGGGAGATATGGAGAAGACCTACCGTCGCGTCGTTGTTGATATTGAGTTTGTTGACTTGCGCGGAGAGGGATGCTGTCGAGTCGGCGGACATTTTTTCTTCTTCCCGTAGTGGCCGAGGAGGACAATGTTGAGTGTAGAAGGGGAGTCGTTGGTGTGGAAGGGAGGAGGAAGGGGAAGGGGGTGGAGGTGGAGGTGAGAGTGAGCATGGGAATGTCTTGGCAGAGATGGAGCTTACCTAATGCACCTGAGGGTACTTCGCGTTATCATTCAGCCACGCGAGACGTACGTCAGCAGTGGCTAAGGTACCGGCCTTACCTAAAATTGCTCTACACATATTCATTAATATTGATTAGACCTCTTCCGTGATACATATCGCATCTCCTCCCTCCCGTCCACTCCACTCACTCCACTCCATCCATTCCTGTCTGTCTGTACTGTACTGGCCTGGCGAAGGACGACGATGGCTTTAGTCGTCGCCCGCGTGTACACTGTACAGTAATCGAATTCATGGTCATGCTCATGGCAGCAGCGACCTCCTTTTCCGACATGCCCACCCTGGCTACCACCCACCGCTCCTCGACCTCGACCTCGCCGTCCCTCCACCGCCGCACCAAGTCATTCGCCCGCCGCCTGGAGCGCTGCTGCTGCGCCACCTTTGCCTTCTTCCCGCTCGTCTTCGTCTACGGCCTGACCACCTGGGCCGTCTGGGTCGAGGCCAACGTCTCCTTCGTCGGCCGCAATGGCACCGGCGCCTACCTCCGCGCAGCCCTCGGCATCCTCCTCTATGCGCTGGCCGACATCAGCTACACCATCGCCGTCTTCTCCCCGCCCGGCTCTCCTCTCGATGACCAGGGTGGCCCGCGCGGCCGAAAGGGCGACTACCAGGGACTGCCCACGCACGACGAGTACAACCATGGCGCGCGACTGCGCGAGGAGGGCGTGGAGCCGGTGCCGCGAGAGTGGGAGTGGATGCAGAACAGCGTGACGGCCAAGAGCACCGGAAAACCACGCTTCTGCAAAAAGTGCCAGTGTGTCAAGCCCGATCGCACCCATCATTGCTCCACCTGCGGCCAATGCGTGTTGAAGATGGATCACCACTGTCCCTGGCTGGCCACGTGCGTGGGATTGAGAAACTACAAGGCGTTTTTGCTGTTTTTGCTGTACACAAGCCTCTTCTGCTGGACGTGCTTTGGCGTGAGTGCGTGGTGGGTCTGGGAGGAGTTCAACGAACGTGCCGAGGGCCTGCAGGGAATGTTGGTCGTCAACACGATCCTGCTGTCTGTTCTGGCAGGTGTCATCGGTCTGGTCCTATCAGGATTCACCGCGTGGCATGTATATCTCGTTGTTTCGGGTCAGACCACGATCGAGAGTCTGGAAAAGACGCGATATCTCAGTCCATTGAAGAAAAGTATGGAGGGCCAATTCAAGGATCCAACTCGTCACAACCTGGCACATGATGCCACGCCCATTACCAATGCCGTCGAGACGGGACAGCACCAGCCTCTGACTGATCGCCTAAAGGAGATTCACGCCAATGCTCTCCCCGGCGTGCTGCGTCCCGAAGAAGGAGAATCGGGTGCAACCTCGCGAACGCCGTCGCCACTTCCCCCCGTGGCGGCAAATGGAGGCCCACTGGGCTCATCGCCTGCGCAGCAGAGTTTAAATCGTACATATGCTTCGATCGAAGCCCAGCGCGAGCGGGAGAGATACAACAGCTATCAAGACGAAGTGGACTCTGAACGTCTACCGAATGCCTTCGATCTCGGGTGGAAACGCAATTTGCTTCAAGTGATGGGACCGGTGCCGTGGAAGTGGCCTTTGCCCTACCTGAACACGGTCGGCGATGGCTGGAGCTGGGAAGTCAGTCCATCCTTCTGGGAAGCCAAAGATCGCATCGCCCGCGAGCGCGAACAAAGGATGCGAGAAGACGCGTTGTGGAATCGTGAAGCTCACCAGCAGCAACCCCCCTGGCAGCCTCCGCCGCGCCCCAAGTGGATTCCTGGACAAGGCTTTGTAGACCAAGCCAGGAACGCAGCACTGCAGGCGAACGAGAGGAGCAGAAGTGGAGAAGGCCCCAGCCCTAGTATGCAAATGCAACCACTCGATAGAAGGAAGAGGGGCGAAGATGAAGCCGGTGTGGTGGATTACGATACAAGTAGCGATGAAGACCGTTTTGTGCAGAAACAGCAGCAGCAGCAGCGGCAGCAAAGATTCACGAGAACCGAAAACTGGAACGATATACCTGAAGACTTTCTAGCAGCAACTACTACTCCGACAGCGTCGACGAAGACGAGGAGAAGTGGAAGCCGGACCAAAGGCGATTGAAAGCTCAATCTTCTAGAAGCCATGGGCAGTTGGAGATTGTTCTGTGTATTATTCTTCTCCTTCTGGTCCATTACAGTATTCCTGCGCAAGCTAGCTCCGATGATAATGTTAATCACCACATCAATTCGTCATTCGTGTTCATCATACGTTCATAGGCCTTTGCCCGTGGGAATTGGCAGATGCATCGTCGGTTTTGGTATCGTAAGCAACCTAGGTAGGTAAGCTTCGGTTAGCACAGCCGACTCTACTCCTTTCTCCGGTGCCATCTTGGTTCGATCTAAATGTGTCTGGTCGTCAGCAGCACACTCTTGTCTCCGAGTAGTTTATTTCTCCGATAATGACTGGATCGCCATTCGGGGTGCTGCTCTGGGTCCACGGCCGCTCGGGCCATCTCTCAGCTGCAAGTCTCCTTGCATCTCGAGATGATTCCCGAGGGTGGTTCCTGATAGCTACGGTGTTTCGTTAGTGCCTATCATAGGTACCTTGGGCAAGTCTTTCACATTTGACAATGTAGGTGACCTGAAGAAACTCACCAGTCTTCACACCACCATCGATGGCATTGCTCGCAATATCGTCCACGTAAACAATCCTCACATCTCAATATGAGCCGGGGGAATTTGCCTACTCCCCGTGGCTCTGGTCGAATGCATGCTCTGACGGTAGATGAATGCAGTGGCACGGGTGCCAATAGTGGTAGGTCCGAGGAGTCGCAATCACCGAATGCTGCAGGTCCCTCGGGGGAAGTATGACAGTCTTGGCAGCCCTCTGGTCCGAGGGCAATAGTCGCAATTGTGGGCTGCAAGAAATTCGTGCTCGACACTTTAGTAATATCATGTCGGGGACCTCTGCACAACACTGCATCGAAATGGATGATTCCCCGGCATACTTGGACTGTCTCAGCCCACTCGGAATACGGTCTTTTTAAAGCCTTGCCGTTGCATCCATACCATCGGCTTTCATCGTCACTTCTACGCGGAATCAGGTCGTGCTGCGATCTGTGGTTCCAGTCGACGCCAATCTGTGCCCCAGCACTGCTCATCACTCCAGGAGATAATGGTCGGTGCTGTCCGACTGGTGGTTTGGACTTGGCGACAGAGTGCGGCACAGGTGCATGCTTCTGGCCAAAAATGTACAAAGCTTTCAACCGAGGAGTTCCCGGTTCTCTCGTCGGACGCACTGCATAGCGCAAGACCTGCTGGAGCTTGGTGATATTGAGCTGCTTCGACTCTTGCAGGCTCAACACGCGGACGTGGTATCGATCCTCGGCAACAATCTCTCGGACCAAATCGGCAGGGACAGTCAGACCATCCAAGATCAATGTCTGCACGAACTTCAATACGCGTCGGGAATGCAGGTTGCCCAAGATGCCTCGTAATGGACCAGCATAGAAGTCGTCCTCGGTCAGACTCTCATCCATCCTCTCGGCCCGCCATGACACTCCGCCCACATCAATGGGAGTCGAATCGATGATGGCTCGGCGGACGGGCGTGAGGTCGAGATGGCGCCAAGCTTCGGTGTCCTGATAGATGAGCTGCCGTATGAGCTTGCAGGTCGCGCCTAGCTGCAGGAGGTCGGCGACAGGGATGTAGGGTGAGGTGTGCCGGCGGACGAGGGCATTGGAGAGCAGGTCAATGAGAGTCACAGGTACATGTACAGGAGACTGTCCGGGGCTGGGCTTCTCCATTATTCACATGTAGGTACTAGCTGACATGTACAGGTAATGTAGCTACTAAGGTGTGATGGAGGAGGATTGGAGGTAAGGTACATACCACCTGAGAGATGAAGATCGATCGTCTTCTCGGGAGGCCCACACCAGAATAGATCATTTCCGAACCTCACCGCCTCCCGTCCTCCCGTCCTCCCGTCCCGTCTGTCCACCACCACGAGAAGTTCGAGAACTTAGGTACATTACCCGACCCTAACCTCTCACCTCACCCTACCTCACCCTGCCTTGCCTTGCCTTGCCTTGCCTTGCCTTGCCTCGCCTTGCCTTGCCTTGCCTTACCTTCTACTCATATAACTCATCCACCTCTCCATGCACCGCGGTCCCTGCGTATCGTACAGTAGTTCTGACATCCACGTCGTAGGTGTGGGTGTGGGTGTATGGGTGTGTGCGTTGCGGTAGCTGTAGCTGTAGCTGTAGCTGTCCCAAGTCCCATCACAATGGTCACGCAACCTCTACCACCACACTCACTCACAGGCTCTCCTCTTTCCTGCACCCCCAGATAATCATGGTGCTGGTAGTGGTTCTGGTAATCTGCACGAGCACAGCTCCATCATGGTGGGCTACCACGAGCTGCAAGCGTTGCCAGCGAAGCATTGCATAAGGGCGATGCCCAGTCGGCACCAGAGAACCTCATGAACCCGACCACTAACGATCGGCCGTCATTCACTAATGTGATCTTGTCAGTGAAGCTCCGAGATGATCACAAATAGCTGGTGGACCCCAGCTGCCTCGCGAGTCCCCTGTTCACTGCTGCTTCTATTGCTTCTACTGCTTCGTCTGCTTCTGATTCCTCCACTGCTTCCACTGCCTCCACCGCCTTTGAAATTGATCCAGCCGACGTTCCTCTGCGCTCCTTGGCATCCGCCGACATGGCTCTGCAGCTCGAGGACCATGCCAAGCGCAATGCCGGCGACCAGACTCCGCCGTCACGTCCAGACTCGGCCATTGATGTTCACGACGACTATGTCCTGACACGAGATGCCGCGGCTTCTGCGCGCCTCAATCTCTCACATTACATCTGGCAGTCCTCGTAAGTGCAGCGTCAGTGAACGAGATTGAGGCTCGCGCGCGCTTGCTGATGGAAACCTGGCTGTGATAGTTACGGCTACAACTTACACCCGCGGATTCAAGATGCGATTCGAGGCAAAGAAAACCTGCACATAGCAGACATCGGAACAGGCACCGGGTGGGCATCTTCCCGGATCGACATTGTGAACAATGGCCACTGACCTCGAGACTAGGATATGGCTGCTCGACCTAGCCCAACAGTTGCCGGCGTCCACTCGGCTCGACGCCATCGACATCTCCTTTGGCCAGCTGCCACCCCGAGAATGGCTTCCCAAGAACGTCACACTCCGTCTCGCTGATGTGTTCCGTCCACCTACCGACGATCTGGTCGAGAAGTACGACGTGATTCACATCCGACACTTTGTGTGCGTGGTGAAAGAGAACGACCCGACCCCACTGCTGAAGAATCTGCTTCGCATGCTGAAACCGGGAGGATGGCTGCAGTGGGACGAGTGGGATGTCCTCAATCGACACTTTGTCAAGGCCTCGCCTTCTCATTCCCACTCGAGCATCGATAAACTCGAAGAGGAGTTTGCCAATATGAGACGCTACACCCCTCGACCGGAATGGACGGCCCGCTTGGACGACTACTTTTTGATGCAGAATGTGCAGCAGGTGGCGCTGGAAAAGAGACTGTCCAGCATTGGACATGTGTCTTTCATGCACGATCTATCGCTGCTGGTGTTCCAAGAACTGATCGATGGCGCCGAGCTGAAGGGCTTGATTGACGAGGAGAAGGTATTGTATTTGAGGAGACTGCTGGGAGGCGCCACGCGAGAGAGTCGAATGGGCGCGGCGTGGAACTTGACGAGGTGTATGGCGGTTGGGCAAAAGGCCCGGAGTGAGAGTATGGGTGCATTCCTGCTGTGAAGGGCGAGTGCGACATGAAGTCGGGGTGGTGAGCGTCATGCGGGTGGTAAGGCTGCGACTGGAAGTGTGTGGCCTTGCGAGATTGTTCCTCGAAGCACGCAACGGATGGTGATCTACTAAGCAACGAAGAAACGATTGGACCGTACCAGCTTGTATTGATTATGTCATGCATCTTTACCTCATCTCCGCATCTGGCTTAAGGTTCTTCCAGCCGGCGACAAGGCATGACGTAGAATCTCGCCATCGTGTCAGATCTTTAGATCCTCGGTCTTACATCTTTGTAGTTTCGATTAGAAATGCGACAGTACGTACTACATGTACCTACCTAGTAGTCATCAAGCTTGATCAGCACCTAGTAGAGAGAGATATATATATATGCTCGAGCCTTCGTTAGAAGTGGCAAGTCAATACAAACAGCTTGACATATTACCTACCTACCTACCTTACTTAGGTACACTCTCATCATCCCGAAGAACTTACCAAACAGGAGCCTACAGCATCAATCGCACCAATCCAGAGAGCACTACAACAACGACGACCATGTCCACCCAAACGATGCAGGCCACGAAGGTCAGCGTGACAGACGACATTCCAATTCCTCGTGGCGAAGCGCATTCGACCCTCGTCTTCTACGCTCCACCGGCAGACGGCGGCGTACCATTCAACTACATCGAAACCCCTCCACCAGGTCTACCTCAGCGCAATTTTGGAGAAGATAGCCACGAGATCACTCTGCAAGACATTCGCGGCCGAGAGAGTGAGTTCGATATGAACGAAAGAGGGTTTGGAGTGTTGCAGAACGTATCCAGCGGAATGCAGAATGCAGATTTCAATCATGACGAGAAGATTGAGAAGACATACTATCCAGAAGTCGAGAGCCTCCTGCTCGACAAAGTGCCAGGCGCAAAGAGAGTGTTCATATTTGATCACACGGTGCGGAGAAGTGATCCGAACGCTAAGCGAGCACCCGTCAACAGGGCTCACATTGACCAAACGACCAAGTCCGCGAACCTGCGTGTGGATTATCACATGGGCGACGAGGCCGAGGCGCTTAAGAACGACCGCGTACGCCTGATCAATGTTTGGAGGCCACTGAACGGTCCCGTCGTCGCGTCCCCGCTCGCATATGCGGATTCGAGAACGGTACCGGATGACGATATCGTTCCGGTCGAGCACAGATATCCTCACCGGACGGGCGAGACGGCAGGCGTGAAGTATACACCCAATGGACAGTGGTACTATTGGAGTGGAATGAAGAATGATGAACGCATTCTACTCCAGTGCTATGACAGCAAGGATGGCGCTCGAACGCCTCACTCTGCGTTTGTGGACCCCAGGACAAAGCCGGACTGGCCAGGCCGAGAGTCTATCGAGGTTAGAGCTTTGGTATTTGGTTGAAAAAGGTTGTTGTCAATGCACATGTATGATGGATGTACTGAGTGGTTTGCTGGCCTAGGTAGCCTATAATGAATGAAATGATTGCACGAGACAACCGCATGCACTTTGAGACCCATGATATGTGTTGTCCGGTGGGAACAAATTGCTGTATGCAGAGTAATGAATCTCACGCTGTCCCATCCCAGGTGTAGTCTTGGCGGATATTGGTTGGTCGCGGCGAGGCGGCAGAGTAAAAAGTTCCGTATAAAGTGAAGATTGCGTATTAAGCCTCGGAGTCATAGGGAAGTGCACTGAACGCGAGTGTGATGAGCGACTGTTTGGCTAATAAAGTATGATTCCGACTGCTCTCGTGCGGGCGTGCGTGCGTGCGTGGTGTGAGCGAGTACATAGTTCGAGGTGGGCAGTCATGAATTCGAGCGTGAACTGAGTGTGATATGGAAGCCACTGCACGGAGCGGGAAAAAGGTGGTTGTTGCAGAGAGGGGGGGAAGAACGGGTAGGTACAGGTAGGTTTGCAGGAACCTTCGGAGAAATAACCACCGCTTGCGCACGGACCCTTTCCACGGTTTCCGGAACATGGTTCCACCTTCCACGCTCCCGTCCGTCTCGTCTCAACTGCTGGACCTCCCCACTGCAGGTACCTCCGGAGGTACGCCCTCTTGGGAACAAAGAATCTCGTGTGAGAATAAGCAAACTACAGCACTGGGCACCATGTGATAACTCGATTCCTCACTGCCTGCGCCCTTTTCCGCACTCCCTACCTCGCTGCCGCAGTCTGTCCGCATACCATACACGACACGATGGCAGCAGTGCATGGTCTTATCGATCTGAGTGGGAAGTCGCAAGCGGTATTCCCAATCCGCTTAGGCGCTAGCATCACAAAGCCTTCAGACGGAACGCACTTCGCCAGTATACGATACAACCACAAACCTGCCTTGAAGCCAACGGAGGACGTGAAAGCATCCATCGGACATGGTCCTAACGGGAACGAGCTCTTGCTGGAAGCAGGAAGCGGACGTTACGCCTATCGCGGGGAATATAGGCAAGATGTCGGGACTTTCGTGCTGGTCGAGAGAGGAGAAGGACAGGACAAGGAAATGGTGCTGGAGAGGCTGGACGGGATGCACACCTTCAATCTGATCAGTACACCTGCACAAAGCAATGCTGCCAAGCTTGAGCAGATGTATCCACACCTCTCTGAAGCGCCGGCTGAGGATGACTTATTTGGAGATGACGATGAGGACTCCCCCCCAGACGCGTCGAACCCCTTCGACTATCGCCATTTTCTCAAAGCAGAGCTGGAGAAGCAGGAGCCGGTTGTGGAGCCCGGCCGTAGCACTTTGGGAACCCCGGTAGTGCAGCCTGTTGCACGCAGCACGCCTGGCGCCCGTGCAGTCAAGCCTGCTGCAAAGTCGAAGGCTCCCGCCAAGCGCAAAACCGCTGCGGACAAGTCGAATACGAAGCGTGTCAAGGCAGGCCAGGAGCCGGCGACTGTACCGCCCCCTGTGAAATCCAACCCCTCGAAAGCGAAACCGGACATCCCAAAGGTACGCATGGACCGCAAGGCCTCGGTGCGCAAACCATCCATAGACGATTCAGGCGAACTCATCTTGGAGAACGAGACGCCAGTAACAGAGAAGCCCCCGAGGGCAGCTGGAGCCATGGCATGGGCGCTCAATGGCGCACTCAACACGGGTCCAATCAGCCTGGCGTCTGCTGCGAGCAGTCCAGGCTTGGCCTCTCCCGCTCCAGAGAAAGGGGAGGAGGCGGAGCAAGAGGAGATTCAAGAGTACGAATTTGACTTTGGCGATGGAAGCGATGTGGAAGATGAGGAGGACCAAAGTGAACTCGTGCTTGAAAACGGCGATGACGATGGCGAGCTGGTACTCGAGGACGACGATGCCGATATCGAGGAGCCTCTTGAGTTACCTTCTCCGGCACAGGCTCATAGGCCGAGCGTCAGTAAAGCCGTCGCGCCTGGTGAAGATGAAGACGATGATATTGAGAAGCAGCTGGCGCTTGCCATGGCGGCAGACGATGAGGAGGAAGAAAGTGAGGAAGAGTGATGGCAGTAACACCATGTTGGAAAAGCCTTGTTGCACGTTGCACTGCGCCGATGCCAACTTCATCTTGTTGATGGCTCATTTGGGCCAAGCTTGAGCGAAGACTTGGCGCCTCGCTGCCTCGGCGATGTGCTTATCCTTCCGTCTGTGGATATGTCTCCTTAATGAGCACACAGAAGACGGCAACCGGTTGCGAGCTCACTCTTGACCTGCGAGATGATTCTGGACATAGAGCACCATGGCACGAGACCTCGGAAATTCGAGCGATGGCCCAGCTCTCGTTACAATATCCTGATTGCCTGGTAGAGAGTATCTCTTCCCACTGTCTCCGGCTCATTGGAACAAGATCGCCTGAAGAGATCGTATGGCCTTTTTACGCGGTGTTGTGCTTATGGGGTTGAGACCGGGTTCGCCTACGGACGACCCCGTGGTCTCGAACCGCGTCTTCTACCTTGCCACACAAGAACGAGACTGTCATGATAGCCCTGGGTTAGCGAGATACTAGGAGGCTCTCTTTCACGCTCGATAGATTGTACGGCTCGCGCAGACCGGTGCAGAAGATTCATTCGTGAGAGAGCGTGGCACGGACTTGACGAGCGGTCGTCAGGCTGATCTCTCCGCAGCCTCGCCGTGAACACAGCCATCGGAGAGACCTAGGGGCATGGAAGTCCAGTAGGCACATCTCTGGAGACGACCACTACCTACTTGTGCGAGCTTTCGGAGGTGTTGTTTTACAAAATGGTGTGTAGCTCTATTCTGTAGTGAGGTTGCCCCATGCGAACGAAGCCTACATATGTTGCAACATCATTTGGAGATGGGAGCAACTTAGAAAACCTGGAGCAGAGCCTAGTTTAGCTTCATCTTCGTGAGATAAATTGACGAAGAACAATTGAGATTTGCTCAACAGCTATCATATGATGTACCTGGTATCTATCATTATTCAATCAATGTGAACATTCATGTCCTGCACGACACGACCAGCCTTCGTCACTGAAAGGGTCGGCTAGAGGCGCGCCAAGCCGGGTAATATCGATACACGTGTCACGTGACAATGTTGCGACGAAGGGGCAAAAAAGTTCAACGTCCATCCATCGTCTCTCCCTGAACACCATGGCCTTCACATTCCTTATGCATTCTCGATGACAGCAACCCGGAGAAATGGCAGAAGACGAGCGACCATACCAGCCATCTCTGCCATGGCGAATCACTTCTGCAGCCACGCTCGGCACGGTGGGATTCTTATGTCGAAGCTTCCTGTATACCCTCAGCAGAACCGAGGTGCATGGACTCGATCAGTTCCTTCAAGTGCTCGATGAACGCGAAGACGAACAGGGCCGGACGAGGGGCTTAGTGACTGGTATGTAGACCAGCAATGCCATACGCCGACGTCTTTTTGCACACACACGCACACAATACTCAAGTCAATTATAGTTTCGAACCATGTGAGCATGTACGCTATCTCCACGCGATTTCAACCTATACCTATGACCGGACAGAACGACTAATCCAGAGCAGTCTCGACGACCCTTTGATGTGGGGTGCCCTGCCGCATCGTTACTTCTGGAAGCCAAACAACATGCGCTGGTCGATGGGCAGCTATGACATTTGTTTCCAGAACAGCATCGTGTCTGCTTTCTTCTCCTTTGGCAATACCCTCCCGACACATCGATCGGCGCATTCCAAGTTTGGCGGACTATTCCAGCCGACAATGACCGAGTGCATACGATTGCTCAGCGATCCTCACGGCTCTCGCTCTCCGTCCGCATCGTCCTCCAAGGAAGACATCCACTTTTCGTCTCTGCCAGCCTCTGATCCCTTCAGCAGTGCTCAATTGACATACACCACGAATGGTTACGACACCTTCCCTGCTCCTTCGGCGTACCCTTTACGTCGACATACCTGGGTGCACATCTTTCCCGAGGGTATGATTCACCAACATCCTTCCAGGGTCATGCGATACTTCAAATGGGGCATTGCGCGTCTGATACTGGAAAGTGAGCCTTGTCCCGATGTGATTCCGATCTGGATTGATGGACCCCAGCATGTCATGGACAATGAGCGCACATGGCCCCGCTTCCTGCCGCGTGTTGGCAAAGACGTGACGATAGCATTTGGCGAGAGGGTCAACCGTGAATTGCTGTTGGAACCTTTCCGGGAGAGATGGCGAGAATTGAAGGAGCGAGTGAAGCGGAAAGCCGTCCATGAAGGCAGCAACCTGAAGGGCCTACCATTGGAGACGCTCGGTGTGGTGGCTGATGACGAGCTGCGATATGGCCGAGAAGCTCAACAACTCCGAATAGAAGTGACGTTAGCTTTGCGAGACGAAGTGCTGAAACTCAGGCGGCAATTCGGTCTCCCCGACGAAGATCCGAAGAGGAGTCTCGCAGACTGTTATCGCGAGGAAGGCGAATTGGGCCGAGACGGGTTTGGTGATATACATGGAGTCAAGAAACTGCACGATGGCAGTACTACCAAAGAGGAGTAGCAGCAGCACTGCTATAAATCTGCTAATAGCTGTACGATAGATTACCGGCCTTCCCATAACAGTTCAAGATTGCCACTGTCCCAGAATAATGCAGCTCGGGGACCACCAGTAGCCCCTACGCAACAAGATCGCTTCTACCATCCATCAATCCATCAATCCATCAATCCATCAATCCATCAATCCATCAATCCATCAATCCATCAATCCATCAATCCATCAATCCATCAATCCATCAATCCATCAATCCCATCAATCCCATCAATCCCATCAATCCCATCAATCCCATCAATCCCATCAATCCCATCAATCCCATCAATCCCATCAATCCCATCAATCCCATCAATCCCATCAAT